TATATCTCCTACTTAGTTGGGTTTTTTTTTTTTTTATAAAATGTTTTTCCGGGTTCAGTTCGTTTTATCTTTTAACTATCGTTTTTTTATCTCCCCCCCCCCCCCCCCCCCCCCCCCCGCCATTCTCTATTGCTCATTTTTGCTTCTCTGCGATCAATTTTTATTTATTATTATTCTTCTGGAATTTTGCTTAAGAGGCATCCCTTGCCGGCAGACATTCAGCCCTCCATAATTCATCTGTCACAGGTTCCCCGCTGTCCACGCTGTCCAACCACTCCACCCTATCCCTTGCGGTTTCGCCCCTGAAATCGTGTCGTGAGTCGTGTTCAAGGGGATTTTTGGGTGTCTGTATATATTTCGATCTACGCAACCCACCAGATCTTCTGCGCGATCCTCTTATCCTCGCCTCTTGGCTCTGTCGTGATTAATTTTCGTTTCTCCCCTTATCTTTCGCGCCATGACTCAACGAGACCCTATCGCTTCTTCCTCCCGCCGCCGTCCCTCTCTTTCGCTCAGATCTCGACCACGTACCTCCGCCTCGTCGACCGTTCAGTCTTCCGGACTTGAAAATGAGGCCTGGAACAGATTGTCCGTGTTAGACGCATCGGACGACGGTGAAGGACAGGTTGTGGAAGAAATGAACCACTTCCCGGAACCGGTCCTGAGGCGTCGTGGAGCTAAGAGTTTCTCCAGCCTCCGTCATCCCGTGGACGGTCTCCGCGCTCTCGGCCGTCGTCTGTCTGTCAACATTCGGAACAAATCGTCCAGGCATGCCTCTCACTCCCATTCTGAGGGCCACGCTCTGTGTCAGGATGATGAACATACCCCAAACAGAGATGCCATCTTGTCGAGGCATAGTTGGTGCAGAGGCTCCAACATCAACCGTCGTGCATCGCTGAACGGCGTTCCCGGTCTGCACGGGTTTTACGCTCCTACTGCCGGCGCCAATGGTCCGATTCCTGGAAATGGCCTGGAGCCACCATTTCTTCCAAACGATATCTACGCGGGATCAGCTGCCCGAGCTGCGGCTGCAGCTCAAAATGAGATGGCTCGAGTCGAGCGCGACTGTGCCAAACTGTCCGATGCGAGGTTGCCGCAGGATTCGGAAAGCGGCATCGGAATTGACCTGCGTGATCATTCGGATGAGCTCTCCGACGTTGATCTCGAGGATATCGTGCGCCTCGACCCGGTTGATTATCTCCCAACGGAGATCATGTCCCAGGTCTTTAGTTATCTTGACCCCAAGTCGTTGATGCAATCTGAATCGGTTTCTCACGCTTGGAATGGGCAGGCTTCCTCTCGGCATATCTGGAGACAGGTATTCCGTCGTGTCTACGGACATAGTCGACCTCATGCTGTTTCGTCTAAGAAGAAACAGTCCGCAGGTTTGGGAAAGACCATTCCCAATCAAGACTGGAAGAGAATGTTCTTCGTTCGACGCGCTCTAGACAGTCGTTGGAAGGAAGGCAAGGCCGCCGCCATCTATCTTCACGGACACACGGACAGTGTATACTGTGCGCAGTTTGATGAGTATGTATTACCTTGAATTCTGTTTCCGGCCAATTTATCATACTGACAATAGCTCGCAGGGACAAAATCATCACCGGTTCTCGTGACCGGACCGTTCGCATCTGGGATGCTCATTATCCTTGGCCGTGTCGGAAAATCATCGGACCTCCCCCGGGAGATGTTCCGAGGATTGGGCCGGTGAACAACCCAAGCCAGCAGTCTTCAGGCAAACCTCCTTTCCTGACCATCTGCCCCCCTCCCACCGTCGCTGACGGGATTGTGACACCGGTGGACCAGTCTTCGGACTACCACAGCGCTTCGATCCTGTGTCTTCAGTTCGACGAGAGGATCATGGTCACTGGCTCTTCGGATTTCTCGTGCATTGTGTGGGATATTCACAATGACTACAAACCGATCCGTCGCCTTGAAGGCCACCGAGCCGGTGTGCTGGACGTTTGCTTTGACGAGCGGTACATTGTCTCGTGCTCCAAGGATACTACCATTTGTGTTTGGGATCGCCAGACCGGAGCGCTCGTGAAGAGGCTCGTTGGACACCGCGGACCGGTCAATGCCGTCCAGCTGCGGGGCGATCTGATCGTTTCTGCCAGTGGAGACGGGGTGGCCAAGCTGTGGAATATCACGTCGGGCCTCTGCATCAAGGAGTTCCCCAGCAAGGACCGTGGTTTGGCGTGCGTCGAATTCAGCGACGATGCGCGGACCATCCTCACGGGCGGAAATGATCAGGTGATCTATCAGTTTGATGCCAACACTGGCGAGCTCGTGAATGAGCTCAAAGGCCACGTGGGCCTGGTCCGGTCTCTGCATCTCGATAGCATGAGTCAGCGGATTGTCAGCGGAAGCTACGACGTCAGCGTCAAGGTCTTTGACGCGCAGACGGGAGAATTGTCGATTGACCTCCCGGGATGGACCACTAGCTGGATGCTGAGTGTGAAATCCGACTACCGGCGTATCGTGGCCACCAGCCAAGACTCTCGTGCCGTCATCATGGACTTCGGATATGGTCTTGACGGCATTGAGCTGCTGGAAGAATAATTATATGAAGAGGGCATTTGGTTAGCCATATATTGAAATTTGCTGGACATTTTTAACAAGGAAAAAGCCTTTGGTCACGGAGTTCTTCAGGGTATTTCACGGAGGAGTTTTCTTGCTTATCTTGCATATCTTGCTTTTTTTTCTTATCTTCTTGGGATACACAGTTTTGGCAAGCGATAGATGTTTTTTTCTTCTTCTGTCTCCCTTTTTGTTGTGGTGATTTTCACCTGTGACTGATTCATCTAGACTTGCTAGAAGGTAACTACATAGATGGCCGTCAGAAATCCACCCGTTGCTTCTCATGCATTGCATCATTGTAGTGTTTGCCTGGTTTGCCTGGTTTGCCCGGTTTGCCGGGAAATCTCCCCCCGTTGGCAGCCTGAGGCAGGTGTACCTTAAAAGCCGACCGACCGCCCGGCTCTGATTGGCTGAAGAGGCCCCCTAGCGGCCAGCGGATCCCGTGGGTTTTGTCGACAGCAACAAAACAATCCTCTTCTTTTGGGTCTTTCCCTCTTCCTCGTCATAAACAAATCCCCCAACGCTGCCTGGAAAAGGGGTCGTCTCTTCTATTCCTCCCGCTCCATTTCCCCTATCTCTCCATTGCATCCCCGCCGTATCGGTACCGTCAAATCTCCCTCTCCTCGATTCTAAACTCTACCACCGATTTACGCCATCTACCCCACCATGGGCGAATCCAGGTTCGTCGGGCATCCCCTCCCCTTCAGGGACCTGAAAACCTCCATACGTGCAGAATGCGAACAATTAACCATGTGTAATCGACCAGACAAGAGCTGTTGGGATGGCTCAACAACCTGCTGCAGCTGAACCTAACCAAGATTGAGCAGTGCGGAACTGGGTATGAACAACGCTCCTATTCCTCCGCATGCAGTGCAATTCCTCCCGCTTCCGCGATGGATTTGCCATCCCGGATACCTTGAGACGACGGGTGGCAGAGCCATTTGCAATGAAGGATTTCCCCCAATACTCGAGTATGAACAGGACACGCTGATGTGGTGAATCTTGCACAGTGCTGCCTTGTGTCAGGTTTTCGATTCGATATTCAGTGAGTGCAAAACCCGGGGGTTTATTCGTGCGTTTCCATTATAAGATCAGCCTGCTAATGTGTCATCTCTCTAGTGGATGTTCCCATGTCTCGCGTGAAGTTTAACGTCAACACCGAATACGCCTACCTCCAGAACTTCAAGGTCCTCCAGAGTATGTCTCCCTGTTCTGCTTATCATTGCAAATCGCCTCTTGTGAAAGAAATGAAGAATTCTTCTCTCTCTCTCTCTCTCTCTCTCTCTCTCTCTCTCTTTATTTCATGCGCTGACATGATCCCATGGCAGACGTTTTCGCGCGCCACCATGTCGACAAGCCCGTCCCCGTCGAGCATCTCACGAAATGCCGTATGCAGGATAACCTGGAGTTCCTCCAGTGGGTGAAGAGATACTGGGACCAGCACTACCCGGGAGGTGACTATGATGCCGTCAGCCGTCGGAAGGCGTCCGGCGGTGCTCCCACCTCGGCCGGCAGCTCTCGTGCGGGCGCCAGCTCCGCCGGAGCCACGCGACGCGGCACCACGCCCACCGTCGGAGGAAGTCGCGCTCGGGCTGCCCCCGGTGCTGGCTCGGCCAACGTGTCCGCGCTGCAACAGGAGATCGCTACCCAGAAAGAGGCTATTGGCGGACTGGAGAAGGAGCGAGACTTTTACTTCGCCAAGCTCCGCGATATCGAGCTGCTGCTGCAGAGCGCTATCGAGGCGGACCCTGAGTTGGACAAGGAGGAGGACTCGTTAGTCAAGCACATTCAAGGCATTTTGTACTCGACGGAGGTATGTCTCCCCTACCCCCCACTCTCCCTTTCCGGAGAAGTGTCGCATCACCCTTTATTTTATCTATTTTTTAATTTTTCTTCTACTAACGATAGGGACAGGAAGGATTCGAGATCCCCGCAGAGGCCGAGGGTGCCGCCGATGAACTGGAGACCTTTTAGATCCATGGCTAGGAACGTCTGTTCGTTATTAATACCCCCTCGTCGTAGTGTCGCTAGCGTTGAGTACGTGGTCTTCCGACCCGTGTATTTGAATTGCTTTTAATACGTTGAATTGGACCTTGGAGATGGTGAGAGAAGAGAGCAGAGAAAGAGTGTGTGTGAGAAAAGAAACCAAGGGGGTGTGTCGTTGAATTCCTTACTTGACTTTTGTGTGTATACTTTGGAGAGTCAGAAATCTGGTTGTCTTTTCCCGAGCCCGGGGAAGAAAAATCATAATAGATTTCTTTGCATTATCTTTCTTACGTTTCTTTTATCCTCTTTTTTCTTCTGTGCTTGTTGAATCTCAATTCAATCCCGTTCAGGTATCAACCGGTCCAGCCCGGTCAATAACTATGAACAAAAACAAGACCTATGCCGCAAGTATCACCCATGTCTTCCCCTCTTACACCTCAATCACAGGCCCATGATAATACTTTCTCGCCCAACCCAGATAATACACCACCGCTAGGATAGTAACCCCGCCGAAGATAACGATACTATAATTCATATCCGCCGGCTTGGGATTTGTCATGGGCGGCCAGCACCCGAAGAACATCATTATGACCGTGAAGATAATGGCAAAGATATTGTTTGCGACTCCGATCCAGCCGTCTACTCGGAAGGGTCCCCATAAGAAAGGTTTCGGGCTGGGACGGCTGCTGTCGCCGCCGGCGTCGTCGCGCGGCAAGGCGATGTCGTTCCGTAGTCGGCGGTATAGGAGCAGGGAGAGGGAGATGAGGTAGGAGGCGAAGAAGCCCTCCAGGACGAGGGAGAGGATGATGTTGAGGACGATAGAGGAGCCGATGTTGATCAGGCTAAGGAGGCCGACGGCGATGACGATGATGCAGGTGCTGTGGAAGGGGACGGAGGTTCGGGAGTTGACCTATTTCGTTTTACGTATTTGCACTTGCGTGTTAGCTGGGATTTGGGCAGCTTTCCTGGAGAAGAGGAACCATGAAGATATGAGGTGATGATCTACTGACTTGACGGATCCATCGCCAGCCTGGAATGGCGCGCTCGCGCGAGAAAGACCACAGCATGCGACTACCGGACGAGATGGCGCCGACTCCTGCGCAAGCCTGGAGGATGGCCATCATGCTGGAGAGAACGATTGCAGCGCCTTTGCTTTTGGTCGAGTTGGCTAGGATGTCCATGAATGGGTACGCGGCGTTGGATTGGATGAGCGCGGATAGATCTCCCGCGGTGAAGAGAAATGCGATCAGAATGCCGAACCCGAGGAGGCCGTTGATCAAGATCGATAGGACCATGGATTGTGGTACGACCATACTGCTGTTCGCGACTTCTTCGGCCATCTAATACCATATGGAGGTTAGGGATAGTGTGGTGCATGGCGGGTCTTAATGATCACTCACATGAACGGCGCCGTCCGTGCCTAGAAACAGAATGATGTCAGGTACGAATTCAGATGGGGTGTAGCAGGTGAGAATGTCTTACCTAGGAAGGCAGCAACTGTTCCCTTGAGACCGATGAACGTTGCGAGAGTAATGTCATGCCAACCACCATAATTGAATGACAGGGTGAAGACAGAGCGTGGATCAGCCCGCGGACCGAGATAGACGAGCGGGATCAAGACGGCGAAGAAACCAAGCACATGAACGATGAGAATGAACACTTCAATGACCGGCAAGATCATGCCCAACCATGTATTCAAAACCGTGCAGATGAGCAAGACCCCCCACATTATGAATGTGACATGCCAGCCTTTAGGGTCATACTCGGGGATATTCATTGCGACAGCGTTTTGCAGAACACTGCCCGCCAGAAAGATAGTTGCTGTTGGACCTGCAGTCCATGCTAGTATACAGATGGAGCCTTTTGTCTTCTCGTTAGCATCTTAAAGGGCATGGGAAAAGACAGGCAAATTGCAGTGCAAATACCGGTAACGTGACTTAAGAATCGCCGGGATGACCTGGGAGCAAGAAGAAATGCCCAATGATATTGTCCTCCGGCCTGGACGCGAGATCAGGTACATGACCAACATGACGGTTCTTGTGGACACCTACCGAAGGGAACATGCTTGCCAATTCTCCCATTGCGACGAAAATGCTCACAAAGCCAATCCAGACACCAATATATCCATATACCAGTCCGGCAGGGCCGCCGCTAAGAGTGAAGTCAACATCGGGGGTCTATGGCTGAAGATCTTTCAATTGGGTATGTCATACTTCATTAGGCCCAATTGGATGTTCCTGGGCCCGAGTCAGAGGATTCCATTGCGGAAATGGGATGAGGGCGAATAACTAACATGATCATTGCTTCCCATGTCAACATGAGACTACAAGCGAACCCAACGGTGCTTGTCAAGCCAAATCTTCGCTTGTGAATGCGAACAATATTTGTGAGCCGAGAAAAGCAAACCTTCGGGGGATCCTGGAAAGACTTCTCTACCGACCTTTAAAACCTCTTTTTTTCCGATTCTGGCAAGTTCAATGGCATCTTTGTTGGATGAAGATACGTTGCTCTTGTCACAAACGGTGTGTTCCTTAGCAATTGCCGAGCTCAACTCGAAGTGACTGTCTGACGCATGATATCGAGCCATGGTGAATGACATTCAATGCAGTGATTGGATGTATGTGCAGAAGGAGGACTGAGGGTCTGATAGACAGTGTTGGAAGTGTGAAAGTTGATCGCTCAGGCCGGAACAGGCAGGCAACTCGTGACATCCAGTGACTTTCTACTCACCCAGCTGAAACTTGCTCCTCCCTCCCTCGACAAAGAACTTCGGCACCCCCAAATACGACCTCACCTGCAACACTGTTACACAGGGGATGACGTGAGCATTAATAATGTGATTATAATGTGACGCAACGATGAATTATGCAGAGTTCGGAGTAATGCAACTGTTTTCACCGAATCACACGGACAGTATGTATGTCGGAGACTGGACTCCAGGATGTGTGCGAGTGTCGGCTAATATGGAACCCGGACTGGATAGAGAATTCTGGAGACCGGACAGATTTGAAAGGCATCTGTCGACCTCCAGGTTTCTGGCCAACGAGAGTCGACGCGTTTAGTGGCACGGCGTCGATCAATCCGTCTTTTCCCATAATCGCGTGTGGTGATAAACCATGCTATAAGGGTCGTACAGAGATGGGCATGTATCGACGGACCACCTCTTTCCACATTTTTTTGGGTTAAGGCTAGATATGATCGAGCCTAGAAGTGTCCGTGCAGAAGCCAATATACTGTGGCATAATCCTGATTTTTCATGATTGATGACCGGCCTCTTAGACTCGACGCTGGCATCTTGATCGTTTAGGATCATCTTATTGTCTTTGACTTATTCAAACATGGACCATAGCGCGGCAATCAAGATTATCAGCTGCTTTTTGCTGATTACATCGTCTGGCGTTGTGGCAGCCTGTCTCATCGCAAGTTGGCAGGCACTTAGGAGAAAGCTCCTCATCGTGACTCTTCTCATCGCAACTTTGGTAAATATTCGTTTGTTTTGTTGAAGAGCGTGCCTTGGAAAGTTGAAAGACTAACAAGCCACCGTACCCCTAGATTTCGTCTATACTTGCTGGAGTAGCTGCATCTATAGCCGCAGAGAATGGCCTGGGGAGGTCTCCTGGCGAGTACTCTGATGCGCAATTTAAGGCCATACAAAAGGCCATCTATGTCACCGAGATTTTCCATGTCTTGACTGTAGGCCTTGGAAAGCTATCTTTTACCGCTCTCTTCTACGTTCTTCTATCGTCGACCCGTTGGTCCAGGGCCGTTGTTGCGGCTGCTGTCTTTTTGGTCCTTTGGACGGTGACGATGATCATTTCAGCCTCGCTGGAATGCGATCCTCCTGAGGTCTGGAATCTAGCAGAAGGCAACTGCCGCAATCCGGTGAGCTTCTCAACATGTTTTTGAATGAGTACACCTTGTGTTAACACAGAGAAAGACTGCGCTGTGGATATATTTCGGAGTTTCCAATATTCTTATTGAGGTTTTGCTTATTGCACTACCATCACTGCTGGTTTACAGCATACAGATGAGCCTGCACAAGCGTGTCATAGTTATTGGCTGCTTTAGCATCAGAATTTTGTAAGTTATACCCGCACATCTAGAGAGCTATCCGAACTGACAGAATCTTCTCTGCTAGGGACATTGTGGTAACGGCTGTTCAAATCCGCTATACCTACGCATTCGGAGCTCGGTCTTCCATCTCTCTTGAACTCTGGCCATGGGTCATGTGTAGCCAGGTCCTGCAGACAGTGACTATCATCTCAGCCTGCGTGCCATATCTTCGCGAATTTCTCCGGTCTTTCCCAAGTGGAATGTTTCAGCCCATCGAAAACCAAAGTACGGGACTACGGTACGCATACGGATCAACAGGCAATACGGGCAGTGATGCAACACTCAAGCAAAATTATGCATTACATAATTTCAGTCATATATCTTGAGATCCCGAGAGGCAGAATATATCATGTAATCCAAGCGCAAATCCACATCCCCAGGCCTGTCGTTGTCATCATTTAGCAATCGAAGCGACCTCGAATTCATCCGGGCTCGTCTCAGGATTGGCGGACTTCTTCTCGATTGAAAAGTCGCCGCCATCGAGATCTCGGATCGGGCGGCCCATGATGGCCGTAGCCAAGGCAAGACTGAGAAGAACGGAAAGCCGCATGTCTGGTCGGTCAATGATGCTCGTCTCGTTATATATCCGCGGAGGCAAGAGTTCGTTCTGCGAAATTTAGCCCATCTTCTAGATTTTGGAGGTCACGGTGGTGTCAATACCTTTCAAGCGTCTGTGGTATTGATCATAGACTGAAGATAGAAAGGCGAATGTCCAGAGAATGGGATCGGGACCAGACGGTGAATTTGTATGGATCGTATCTCAATGTGACCTTACCTCACAAGGCCAAAAGATTGCGTTTATAGCCTTTTCGGAACGTATATGATTCGTCCTGTGTTACGATACAGATGCTACCGTATTACGAAAAATCACATTCTTTGGCTACGAGGGACTTGAAGAGCTCACATGCCTGTTCTTGGTACATCATGCAGTGCGACCGGACAGCAAGCAACGAAGGACCCAAGCTCGGAGAAGTCCGATCGAATGAGGCTGAAAGAGGATTGTCATCGCCCATTCTCGAAAAACTCAACATCTTGTCAACCCCATACTCTGCAAGCTGTGTATAATGTATGCAAACGAGAGTGGTAAACGGGTCGATGAGGCCGACCAGCCCTTGATCCAGGGGTCGGAAGGCATGGTAAGTCTTGACCGTGGGACCTCGTCGCTCTCCAGATTACAACCATGGAAGACAACCTTCCTAGCCATGGCACTTATATTCTCATTACTGTTGAACGCATGGTGGCTTTTGCTTGAGCGGAAAGGTGATGGCTCACACGAAAAATCGATGCCATCCAAGATACTTTCGGCCCAGCACTCTCCCTACAGTATGTCTTCAGAAATCTTAATAAAACAGATGAGACGATCTCAAAATGGCTGCTGATAGATACATGTTACCAGCTGGACTCGGTTTTGATATGCAAATTCCTTACGCTCATGATACTGAGTACACAAGCTCCAACGAAACCCATGCAGACTATATGTGGGAAAACTTGAACATCGACCCAATGATTATTGCACCTACTCTGGAATGGGCTGAAAGTATGAATCTCCCGGGCTCTTGGGCATTCCCATGGGACTCGAACCGACGGATCTATTTTGTGAAGGTGTTCCATCAGCTGCACTGTCTGGTATGTACTCAAACGACCGCCCGCTCATTGTTGTAGATAAGATTACTCACACTAGGCGCTGCATTTATAGAAAGTCATGCGTAAATCATTCCATGACCTCCGGGCCGATGGAGAGAGTCCGATTCCAGCGGGTCATGTCGAGCACTGTCTCGACAGCCTACGTCAAGACTTGATGTGCGCCGCGGACGACACCCCCATGCCGTCTCTGGAACTTTTGAACGGCAGTGGCGAAGGTCAGATGATGCAATGCAAAGACTTTGACAAACTCGTTGCCTGGACGCAAGCCCCAGAGCGCAATGCTTGCTATAAACGATTGGTCACCAGTGACTACAGGCCGATCGTGCATAGTATCGAGCGATATGCCTTTTGTCCAGCTGACAGCCAGCCTTTTGCCGCCATGAGCCGGTATTTCGAAGAGCATGGGCACTATGCAGATCCATTTGCGGAATAGTTAGCTTGATAGTCGTAGTATAGTCTGGTTTGTTGGTAAATCCATGGATGATCACATCTTTGTTTGTCCCTCGATGTTTGGGTCCTTGTGTAACCTCAGCTTCCCCCAAATGAGGGGGTCAATGCAACCTGATCAGGCTGTGACTCTCTTGCTCGTCACATCTCATCGTTTGGAATGACTGAATTGATGGAGATGGAGCAGAATACCAAGCAGGGGAAAGACACAGAAATCGCCGTCAATCCAACAACGCACATTGTGGAATTTACCGAGGACGATGTAGCGAACCCGCGGAACTGGCGCCCACCGTACAAATGGTCGATCGTGGTTCTCGTGGCCAGCTTTTCTGCGGTGGTGTACGTGCATGTTCAATGATGCGATGGCATTATAATTATAAGACCAGATTCTGACTCTGAATCAAACGCAGGCAATTATCGACCATCATCGCCGCGCCCGTCTCTCCTGCCATCCTGGTCGGCTTCCACTCCAACAACGTCCTCTACCGCACTCTCATCGTGTCCATCTGGGAACTGGGCGAAATCGTGGCCCCTCTCATCTGGGGGCCTCTTTCCGAGCTCTACGGACGACGGTGGGTGCTCAACATCGCCAATGTTCTCTTCATCGCCTTCCATGCCGGCACCGCTCTCAGCACCAACATCCACATGCTCATCGCCTTTCGGTTTCTCAGCGGCGCCGCCACGGCCTCCTTACCAATTGGCCCGGGGGTCGTGAGGGATCTGTTCGAAAAAGAGCGCCGCGGTCGCGCCATGTCCATTATGTCTCTGACGACCACGTTAGGGGTCGTGGCGGGTCCCATCGTGGGATCTTATCTGGGCGAAAGGGAGGGATGGCGGTGGGCGTTTTGGCTGCCGACCATCGTGGCCGGGGTCCTCGCGCTGCTGCTGTTAGCAGTCTATCGTGAAACGTACCAGGTTACCATCCTGATGCGAAAGGCGAAACAACGGCGTCGTGAAACGGGCAACTTAGATCTGCGGTCGAAGTACGAAACAGGAGAGACGGATGCCAGCGCAGCATCCAAGCTCTTCGATGCCTTCATTCGGCCGTTGCGTCTGCTAATTCGATCCCCTATCCTCATCCTGATCACGGTGTACATCAGCGTCGTCTACGGATACGTCTACCTCATGATGACCACCATCGCGCCCGTCTTCCAGGAGATCTACAGCTTTTCGACGGGAGCGTCGGGCCTCTGCTTCCTGGGACTCTGTCTGGGACTTGCCCTGGGCGCTTTCATCTGCAGTTTCCTGCTCGATCGGTACATCCGCATGGCGAAAGCCAGAGCTAGCGCAGCGGCAGCGGCAGCGGCACAGCAGATCGGGTCCGACGACCCATCTCCTATCACCCCCGAGCACCGTCTCCCGCCCGTCCTCTTCTCCTGCATCTTCATGTCCAGCGGCTTCTTTCTCTTCGGCTGGACGGTGCACGTACACGTGCACTTCATCGTGCCCATCATTGGTACCGCCATCATCGGCCTCGGTCTCGTCGCCACCACCATCTCCCTGCAGACCTACATCGTCGACGTCTTCGGTATCTACGCTGTCAGCGCTACCAGCGCGATGCTGGTACCGCGGAACGCCAGCGCCGCGTTCCTGCCACTGGCCGGGCCGCCGCTCTTCCAGAGACTAGGGTATCATTGGGGCGGGACGTTGTTGGGGTTAGTAGTGTTGGCGTTCGCGGTCATGCCGATGGGGTTTATGCGATGGGGAGGAAAATTGAGAGGCAGATATGGCAGTGGCTATTCGGAGGATTGAATTTTCTGTCTCTAGTTGGATTTGGATCGGATTGGATACCTAGTAATCCTCTCGTACTCCGTAAGTTGGGGGGGATTGCACCACTGTTATCATCAAATCTAGTTACGGAGTACTCCGTCGATAGGATTGATCGGCGGACACGGCAGGCAGAATACTAGTGCAAGGTCAGAAATGATCTCAGGCCGAGACCAACTGGAAAAGGTCCAGAAGCCAAGAACGGCCGAAAAAAAAAAAACAACAACAACAAAATAACAAGGATGGAAGCGGGCAGAGGCAACGTCAACATTATATTCCGTATTCTGTAATCTGTAACCTGTTACACCGGACGAACTGATGCCGTATATAAATAGTACGGAGGGTGGTGGGGATGTGAAACTAACACGCACTTATTAGGACGTTGTTGCTTATTGGACGTTGCTGCAGTCTGCACGCCGTAGAATCTTCTTGGTGTAATCTACGGAGTTGAAGATATGAAGATGTTCAGCGCATGAAGCGATCATTTTAGCCGAATACACCCAGCAAAGAGAGAGAGAGAGAGAGAGAGAGATTTGATTAATTTCGTTGGTGTCGTACCTTGCAGAAAGAAAGCAGTCTGACCGGGCGGAGAAAGTAAGCGAGAAAATAACGGTGGTCCCCCTTGCGCCATCGGAATGCCGTTGGGCCCCGCTGATAATCTATTATTATTATTATTCGCATATTAGAAATTTAGAATAAGCAACAACAATAAAAATCCGAATAAATAATATCCCAAGACGGGAAATCGACGGTACCTGCAGCTTCGGCCTCGTCGCTGTCAGTCCTGATTGGATACTTGTCCACGCCAGGTGGGTCTGGGATCCCGACTCGGTTAGTTGAGATTACATCTGTACGGAGTATACACTGTGTCCTGTGTGTTCAGTCTTTGTACAGATTAATCTCGATGGAATAGATGACTATTGCTATAGTTCTGAAGGGAGATACTCAGACCGAGTCCTTCATTCTCTGTTCAATCAAGCGGATCAAATATAAATCCATTGTATGCCCAGTCCCTACTGAGTAAGTACTGCAGAGGATCACATTAGTCTGGGATGGTGAAACTTTGCAGCGGCGTTTCATTAAACTCAGTCTTGGCTTCCCCTTTCAGGCCAATGACACCCCGCTGCCGGCGTCATCTGCCGCCCGAAGTGGCATGGCGGTATCTTATGTCTTGATGCTCTTATTGCAATGTCTTACATCCCGTGACCGCTAGTGGCCACTGCAGGTCGAACAGTCCGCCCGTCGTGGTTATTCTTAGGCCTGGCCTGATCGATCGCTCGTCTCTCGTCTCCTCTCCTCTTCTCCCTCATCTCATCTCTCTCTCCTCTCTCTCTCTCTCTCTCTATCTTCCCTCCTCGTCCGTTCATCCTCCCCTCCTTCTCCTCCTCTTCCTCCCCTACTCTTCCTCCCCTCCTCTCCCCCTCCCCCTCCGTCTACCCTCTCGACCTGGTCAATTCTCTCCCGTCTCTCATTTTCAATTCCATTGTTTGAATTCTTCTCCGGAGATCTAAGGGCGATAAGATAGACGACTATCGACGGGTACTCCCCTCTGAATCGACTACCACGACACGGCCTTCGACCGAGCAACACAGTCCAAACCCCAAATCAATTAATTAACAAACCGTCCAAACGTCTCGGGTCCAGACTCCAGAACCTACTCCGTAGGTGTCAGCGTGGATCCTTGGTCCGTCGGGAAGAAGTTGTCGGATCGGAAATAATCTCGACGATCACCTCGCTACGGAGTCCCTCGTCCGTTCGGAGCTTCGAGCTGTCCGCACCTCGACTCCCCTGCACCTTTCTCTCTCTGACGAGAATGGATTAAATCAGGGTTTCAATTGTTCAAAATTCCAGTGATTAATAGGAGGATACAGGGAAGGTTTTCGGGACCACTTTCTTTTACTCGTGTTTCTTTTTCTTTCCGGTTGGAATTAATTAAAAAAGAAAAGAGAGAAGTGGAACTGATCTATTTCCTCGTCCTCTACTCCGTACGGGTAGGTCCAGACAATCTTCCCTTCGCAATGGATCCCGAGTGGACTGGTTTCAATGTCTCACCTCACCCGATGCTAATGACTCGCTCCCACTGCCAGTTGTCCATGCCTCTCGATCATTGATTTTCGTTTTTCCTATCTCGATCTTTCAATTGTCGGCTGCTCTCAGTTGACGTCCGCTCCTTGCTTTTTCACTTTATTATCTATTCATTACATTATCGACTTTTCTAGTGTTTAATCGCTCCTTTGACAACCTCGAATATCGATATCTCCTTCTTTTGCATACTCTTTGTCTTCATTCTTTCGACATCGAATTCTATCGTTTAATTCTCTACGTTCCTTCGACTTCTGGCCTTTTGAGCTTCCGATTGCTCCGAACTGCTCTCGACAGACTGGACTGCCTACTCTTTCTCGTCCTCGTTTTCGTGCTTCCGAACTGGAATTGAAACCGCTATCGCTAGTCGGCTCGCCTGATTGATACTAGTGGAGACTTGTTACGGATCGATCTTTTGTGAAACGGACCATTTCCCGATTCGGTCAATTATTGAGTGACGGTAGCTGGGAAGGAATTGCTTTTTGTACGACGGACACGTGGGGCACGTCAGGATGTCCCATCATGGCAGCTCCAGACACACCCGGTATACCAGACTGATGAGGAGGAGAACTCGTTCGACTGACGGTCAGGAACAAGGCGTGGACCAAGATTTCGATCGGAATGGCGATTCTTCGACGCAATCAAACATGCTCCGCGACGTGGAAGATGGAACGGACGGCACGCCTGGTCGTAGTGACGGGGGTTCGACCCCGGAGAAACGTCGCCAGACCGCTGACTCGGAGGACCAAACCACGGTACTAGCGAGGGTGATTAGCACGGTCGATCAAGATCCCCAAACGTCGCTTTCAGACACCACCGCCACGGCTCGACCGACCAAAACTTCAGACGTCGAATCGGATCGCTCCACAACATCGCACACTTCCTCCGACCCGACGTCTGTCACGCATTCCCATCGTTCCACCGCAGACAATACTTCTTCATCTGAGACAAGTACAGTAACAAATGCGTCCTCGTCCTCGTCCTCGTCTTCGTCGGACGAAGGTCTTCCCACCGCCTCGCCAGCCTACTCATCCCCCACTGCGGACACCCCGACGATGACAACCGGCCATGACGCCTCCACCACCGGAACGTCTGTCACTTCCGGAAATTCCACCGTCCAGCTTTCTACCCAGACCTCGCATCACATTATCAGTCCGACTACGATTAGCGCTTCTTCGAGTCACCGGGTGTCGTCAAGTTCGGCGGTTTCCACGGGCTCGATGTCGACGTCCAGTACCTCCTCGAATTCCACTATTACGACATCGTCAACGACAAACTCCGTCGCAATCGTGTGGACAACTTCGGAGAGCGCCCCGACGTCTTGGTCATCCACGGGTGACGGCTGGGGAGGCGGCGAATCCTCGGCGACTAGCACCACGACAAGCGCAGCTCCTACGGCTACCGATGTGGCTTCCGGGGGCTCCGGCTCGCTCGACAGCCAGACCAAGGGAAAGATTGCTGGCGGTGTCGTCGGCGGCGTGGCGGGAGCGCTCATCCTGCTTCTTGTCGCCTTCCTGCTGTTCCGACGACGAAAGGCGGCGGCGCGCAACCCGGTTCAAGAAGCCCTTCCTGCCGGACCAGAGACCGGCACGGCGCTCGGGGCCGAATCGGTGTCGCGGTCTGCCGAAATGACTTCGCGGCGGTCGAGTCACGATCCCCTGTTCACCGCCTCGTACTTTGCACCGGCATTCATGAAACGCTGGAGACAGTCCAACCAGACTACTCGGACCGATAGCACGATAACCTCCAGCACCAGCGAGCGAGGATTCCAGAAGATCTCGGGAAGGAAAATCCCTTCGGTACTGCAGTCTGGTGGAGACGGTTATGGGGGTGGCTTCGAGGCCGGTTCCCCGACGACGTCCGAGCCGAGTACGATCATTCAGCCGCCGTCACCGGTGTACCCGCGGTCGCCCACCCAGCCGCCTCCGTCGGTGCCGTACGGTATGCCCCTGGATACCAGCTATACGCGGGAGGCGGAGGAGTCGGACGCCAGAGTCATCTTCCGACCGTCCCCAGCGCGGACACCCGTCGCGGGCTCGGCGAGTGCCAGTCTCTCCAACGAACCCACGGGCTCGCGGGCTGTTCCTCAACTATCGGGGGCTCTTTCCCCTACAATTCCCAAACGACCCGACGTGTTGGGTCGGAGTCACCCGAGCTTCGATGGGAGTCGAGGCAGCCGATTTTCCGAGAACCTATGAGCCTTTGTCTTGCACTTTCCACGGTGGTTTTTATTTCGATTTCCCGTTGTGGATCGTGTGCACATACTATAAAAACCCTCCCCCTTCCCCCCTTCCATATTCTCAGGGTATATAAGTTTAGAGCTTTTGCTCTGTACATACGCTGACGGTTGGCGCGCTCGCGACCGGCATCTCCAAGGGGAAGATGAGAGAGGACTTTCTCTCTCTCATCCTCCCGACGAAGACCGCTTCGATGGTAACTCGTTGAGGCCGAGCCGCTTGGCCGCTGCCATTGCGCGCACCTCCTTCGGCGCGCCATGTCGATGACGTCTTGATATTCAGTACTAGCCTTCTCTGCCTATTTCTTCTATGGATACCCCGAATTGTATTCGATGTTTTCCTGTCGGCCTGTGATTCTTGTATTTTCCTTGTTTGTCTGTATGTACATTCCTTTGCATGGTGGTTTGCTTGGAGATTGGATCTGAGTGGAACCATCAGGACTCGTATAGCCTTGTTCTCTATCTAATCATGCATGAAGTTTCGAACGATAAAGACCGAATCCAGCATCAACTCTTCACTCCTGGACTGTAGAGACCGCTGACATAACACGGGCCAACCAGCCAACCAGCATCACGGGATTGGCATTAGTCAGGGTTGCATTATCTACTTCTGCCTCGTTTCTGCTCCTCTCTTCCCCTTCTCCAGTCCTGTTTCTTTCGCAAGAGTGGCAGCCGGCCCTCATCTCGTATTTGACGGCTTCATTCGTACTCTCTTGCTCTAGTTTCTCACCGCATCTTAATATTTGGCCCAGGATAGTATCTCCATCATGAAGGAAGCTCAACCTCCCGTGGCCAACATCAACAACAAGCCCTCTCCCTTAAACACCACCAAACCCCTTCGGTTTCTTGTCATCGGGGCCGGATCGCGGGGAACGGCCTATGCCCGTGCCGTGACGACCACCACCGTCGGGGTGATCCACGCCATCGCCGAGCCCCACGCTTTCAAACGCCAGGAGTTCGGCCGCAACTTCATCTGGGGCGATAAAGGTGGCAGCAGCCCGCACGAGGGCCAGGAATTCACCGACTGGCAGGAATGGCTGCAGTGGGAGCTGAAGCGTCGTCAACAGACTCCACACGCTACCCAACCCCCAGGCGTGGACGGCGTCTTCATCTGTACCCTCGATGAGACCCATATCGAGATTCTTCGCGCCATTGCCTCGCTCCAACTACATATCCTCTGCGAGAAGCCGCTGGCCCTGTCGCTGGCCGACTGTCTCACGGCCTATCGCGTGCTGGGCGGCCAGTCGCCATCGACGATCTTCTCCATCGGTCATGTCCTGCGATATAGTCCGCATAATATCCTGCTAAGGAAACTCCTGCTCGTCGACCGCGTCATCGGCGATATCGTCTCCCTCGAGCACTGCGAGCCCGTGGGATGGTGGCATTTCTCTCACAGCTACGTCCGCGGCAATTGGCGCCGTCAGACCCCCGCCGGAGACGGCTCTCTTCTCACTAAATCGTGTCATGATATCGATTTTATCCTCTGGTTGCTGTGCTCTCCGCCACCGGTCCCTTCCTCGGACGCCAACGCAGACGTAGATGCCACGACGGAAGATTCTCAACCACCCCATCTCCCCCGCTCTATCTCCTCCACCGGCACTCTCACTCAATTCCGACCCGCCCGGAAACCACTCGCCGCTGGCTCCGCCACAAACTGTCTCTCCTGTCCAGCCGAGCCGGAATGCAATTACAGCGCGCTGAAAATCTACCGTGACATGCACGTGAAGCAGTCGATCTTCGACTGGCCCGTGAATATCGTCTGCCCGGACATTGAAGACGTAATTCGTCCTTGCACATCCTCCTCCACCGAGAACTCCTCCCCAACGGAGAACCCATCATCCCCCGCCGCCATCGCGGCAGCAGAAATCCACCTCCTCAAACGCCTAGGAGAAGATTACTCCCGAGAGAGCATGACCGATACCGAAATCGCCTCGCGGCCATGGTACGGCCGGTGCGTGTACGACGGCGACAATACCGTCTGCGACGACCAAATCGTCACCATCACCTGGGACGACGAACAGCTTTCCCCTCCCCTCGCTTCTTCTTCAAAAACACCCCTCCGCCTCGCCAAAACAGCAACCTTCCATATGATCGCCCCCACGGAAAAACAATGCGAACGACGGGGTCGTGTCTACGGCACAAGGGGCGAAATCAGCTACGACTCGCGCAATATCAGCATATACTCGTTCGCGACGCGGTCGACCACCCACATCGCCGTGCCTAAGCAAGCGCCCGAGGAAGAGAAGTCCCACGGCGGTGGGGACTATGGATTGGCGCGCAGTTTCGTGAAGGCGGTTGATGCGGTGGTGAGTCGGGGGATGGGGGTTGAGGAGGCGCAGAGACGGTTTGTGGGGTGTACGTTGGAGGAAGCGGTTAGGAGTCATGCGGTGGTGTTTGCGGCAGAAGAGGCGAGGAGGGAGGAGAAGGTTGTGAAGTGGGGAGAATGGTGGGGGGAGAAAGTCTCTGGACTTGAGGGTTGAGCTATACAGCTCTTCTTCATGTCTGATGGGTGATGTACTAATGGGTAGTCGAGATCTGGAGTGAGGGAGGTTAGAGGATATGGGCGACGGACTCATGGATTTACGAAATAATGACTTTCTTTCCTTACATATACTAGTTTTTGACTATCAAGGTATGATATGATATGATATAATTAAAATATTTACTGATCAACGCTACGATGCTGCTGCTGCTGCTCACTCTATCTGTCCATGAGGGAGGGCTGGAGAAAAAACACTGTACGAATTGCTCACGTAACCTCGTTAACACGGACGAAAACGAATCTGGGCGTTTTTAAGTCCGCACGTCAGGCTCCTCCCGGCCGATGTACTCCTTGAACTTGAGCAGCGACAGGGCCAGCGAGACGTTGTCCTGCAAGTACTCCTGCGCGCTAAGGCCGAACTTGCTGGCGTCCTTCTCGAACTTCTCGATGTACAGACGGATGGTGGCGCCGCTGCTGCCCGTGCCGGACAGACGGACCACGATGCGGCTGCCGTCGTCGAAGGTGGCGTACAGGCCCTGGTTCTTGGACACGCTGCCGTCCAGGTCAGTGTAGGCGAAGTTGCCGATGTCGGTGACACGGCGACCGGAGACGCTGGAGCCGACAAAGGTGTCGCGCTCGGCCAGCTTCTCCGACAGGGTGGCAATCACCTTGTTGGCGCCGTCGCTGTCGACGTTCTCGTAGTCGTAGCGCGTAAAGAAGGTGCGGCCGTAGGTCTGCCAGAAATCGTTCTGGATCGAGGCGATGCTGGGCGTCTCGGAGCCCTTCTGCTTGGCCACGCCGGCGATGACGTTCAACCAGGCCACGATGGCCCACAGACCGTCCTTCTCCCGGATGTGGTTGCTACCCGTGCCGAAGCTCTCCTCACCGCAGATGGAGATCTTCTTGTTATCGAACAGGTTGCAGAAGAACTTCCAGCCCGTGGGCACCTCGTAGCTCTGCAGACCCTGGGCCTCGGCCACACGGTCCACAGCCCCGGAGGTGGGCATGGAACGAGCCAGACCGTAAACGCCCTGGTCGCGGAAGTAAGGGATCAGCTTGGCGTGGTGGGCGATGATGGCCAGACTGTCTCCGGGGGAGACGAAAGTGTTAGCGCCGTAGATCATGTTACGGTCGCCGTCACCGTCACTGGCGGCACCGAAGTGGATTCCGTTCTTGTCGACGGCCTCGACCAGTTCGTGCGCATAGACCAGGTTGGGGTCAGGGTGGCCACCGCCGAAATCGGGGCTGGGCTGGCAGTTCATGGTGCTGCTGCTGGGCAGGCCCAGCTCCTTGACGAAGATGTCGACACCGTAGGGGCCGGTAACACCGTGCATGCCGTCGAACAGCACCTTGAAGTCCTTGTGCGTGTTCAGGAACTCACGGATGAGGTCGAAGTCGAAGATCTGCTTCATCATGGTAACGTAGTCGGCGGTCGAGTGGACCACCTCGACCTCCAAGGGGCCGTACGTCTGGGTGCCGACAGCGGAGATGTCCACCTGAGGAATCTCGGCGATTTTGTAGGAAGTAAGGGACTTGGAGGTTTCGTAGATCTTGTTGGTGACGGTTTCGGGGGCAGGAGCACCGTTGGCCAGGTTGTACTTAATACCAAAGTCGGCATTGGGACCTAATCGTGGCACGCATGACGGTCAGTTGTCATGATCATCACGAACGAGGAAAAGAGAAGAACTTACCACCAGGGTTGTGGCTAGCGGTTAACAAGATGCCACCGGTGGCCTTGCGCACGCGGATCAGGTTGCTGGCGGCGGGGGTACTGAGAATGCCATTCTGACCGACCAGCAGCTTCTTGACTCCGTAGGCAGCGCTGATCTGGGCAATCTTCTGGACGACTTCGGGATTGTAGTAGCGGCCATCGCCACCGATGACCAGGAAGGCACCGTCGGCACCTTCAGGGATGGAGAGGAGGATGGATGTGATGAAGGACTCGGAGTAGTTGGGCTGCTGGAAGACCTTGACTTTTTTCCGCAGACCGGAGCTGGACGCAAGCTGTTAGTCATTTATCCGAGACCACTCCAATCGAGTGATAAGGTGCAACATACGTTCCGGGCTTCTGGTCGGTAAAGGGCTGCAGCGAGACGGTCTGGACAGACATGGTGGATCGAGTGGGGTGGGGAGGGAGGGAAGAAAGGGAGTGTGTTGTTGGCAACGGGGGGATGGAGAGGAAGGAAAGGAAGGAGGGGGGGCAGCAAGGGATGATATATAAAAAGACGGTCCAATCTGTCCGGCTCACCGACACTTGAAATGCAGGCTAGACGTAAGGCGAGAGGAAGCCGAAGATGAAGGGAGCAGGAGAAAGCAGACGAAGTGGGGGAGGGAAAGAAAGGAAGGAAAGAAACAAAACAACGGAGGGGCAGCACGGGATCGTCATGTGCGCGTCACCTCCTTTTCCTTTACAGATTGTTACTGTCGTTATGTACTCCGTACATCTCACTCTGTCGTTCTCGAGGTCAATTCCCCCTTAATTTGTGCCAATTCCATAGGATATCACATCACCACCTCACGCAGTTTTCCCCCCTCATCCACTCCGTCCGGCCCCACTAAACAGCTGTTGCCGGTAGAATCGCATCTCCTCGATGCTTTCCAAAATATCGTCCTTTGCCAGATGCACCTCACGCTTCGGAGGTACCGATTCCAGTAGATCGTCCGATCCCCATCGTCGGGCTGCCTCTTTGATGGTACTCACGTCCACAATGCGATAGTGTAACCACTCCAGGACCGCCGCGTACGGGCCCCGCGCTAAGAAGGCCTTGTCTGCATGGACGCTGTTGCCCGCCAACAAACCGGTTCGAGGCCTGGGCACAAATCGTTGGATGTACGCCAGCAGTTCGGCCGCCGCCGTCTCCGCCGTCACCGACGAGGCCAGCACGGCCGCCGTGAGCCCGGTGCGACCGTGGGTGTCGATGCACCAGGCGTTCATCTGGTCCATAGTCGACTTCGGCTGGTGGATCACCGTCTCAAACCCCGTAGAGTCCAGTAGCTGTAGGTCGGCGTCGGTGATAAAGCAGCAGATTTGCAGGATGTGGTCACTCTCGGCATCCAGTCCGGTCATCTATGGAAGATCATGAGCTTTTGAGGATGGTGGATCGCGGGGGAAAAGACGAAGGATTCCCTACCTCGCAGTCGATCCACACCAGGGGATCGGATGAGCGTGCTAACGGCATGGCGGGAACTATTCTGTGCCTGTTGAGATTTCGTCTTGAATCTCGGAAGTGGCAACGAAGCTGACGAGGGGAGATCGATGGAGGTTGGTAAGTTTGGGTGCCTGGCGGAGAAAAAGAACTAAAAGAAGTGGATCTGGAGGTAACATGGCAACTTGCGTAACTTCATTGATTCTATACCAATTAATTCTCTCGCTGTATTCCGGGACACACTGGAGATAGATAGAATAAGAATGCTCGAAAAGAAAAGGAGAAGAAAATAAATAAATCTCTAGGTAAATGCCTCCAACAGATCTTGCCATCCACAGACCAACTGGAGTGAGATCCAGTAAAATCCTCCCCAAAAAAGATTCAAGAGAAAGATTAAAGTCGACTGTTCCAAATACGCCAGCCCATCGCAGTCGTCACAAGGGAATTTTTGAAAGAGATCCCCACATAGAAAAGGAGAAGAAGAAAAGAGGAGATTCCATGGGGCTTCCAAGGAAAGACGAGGGCTGATTTACAGCTCTTCCTCGTCCTGCTGCTTCGTTGGTTGAGGTTGAGGTTGCTGGAGACTCTCTCCGAAAGCTTTAGCATCTGTTCCAGGGGCAGGCGGATTTTCGGTTCCGGCACTGTTGAGGACGCCGCTGACCTGTTGAGAGAGCCCGGACTCGATACGCCGACGTATGGCATGCTCGTCCGCTTGCGAGACGCTGGCTCGCTGCTTCTTCAAGGGGCTTCCGACGAATCCGCCTTCCAACGTGTTGACCGTGGGCTTAGGAGCTTCAAGGGTCGCACTGGGGGCTGCTGCAGTAGTCGTCGGGGGCGTTGTCGAGACGTTAGACGGTGTCTCTCCGGAGGGCTGGGGACTGGCCGCGTCGCTCTTCGGGGTGTTGACCCCGAGCGACGCCGACGAATGTTGGCGTTTCAACTGGACCATATTGTTAGCCGCTGGCACTCGGTGATATCGTTGAGCCGGGCTTGGGTCAACACGTACCTTGATTTGGCGAAGCCCCTCGGCGAGTTCACCCTGGCGCCTCAGGTCGTCAGGGGACAGCGGTCGGTCCTGATCCTTGGCCTCTTCGTCGTCGGCTTTACCCAGAATCGAATCGTCATCGTCATCGTCACTGTCCATCTCGTCGTCGGCAGCTCCCTTCTTGTCTTTTCTGCCTTTGTTCTCTGCACTATCCCGGAAGTTTAGGAAACCGACTGTTCCGCCGGGTTTCAAAGGCCCAAGGTTGGCAAAGTCAGGCTGTAGGGATCTGCGCTTCGTTGGGCCGGGTGTCTCTTGGGCTTTGGGGTCCTTCATGATCTTCATCTTCTGTAGTTGTCCTACGAAAGAGTTAAAAGTCAGTAAAAGATCTATCCAATTCGAACCGAAGAAGCCAGGTCTGTAGAAACTCACGTTCGCCTCGATACATAAAGGTAAAGATCGCGTAGGGCTTGTCCGAAGGATCAATCCCCGTCACCGTCTGCGTGCTGATCGATTTGGGATCAAGCGACTTTGGTTTAGCAAAGCTCGTAGTATGGTCGATGTCCGCGTCGGCCCCGCCATTACTGTTTTGTCCGTTCTGGCCTTCGTCGTCGTCGTCATGGGCGTCAAATTGCGGCGAGTACTCCCCGCGCTTAATCTCGCCCGAGGCCAATACGCGAAACAAGGCCACTTTAATCTGGCCTGCCGATTCGGGAATCGGGTCGTCGTCGGAATCGGAGAAGGACATGTCCTCGTCGGAGATGTCCTCCAGCGGGGATTTATCGTCGTTGCCATACCGCATGATCCCCTTGTCACGTTTGGAATCCATTTCCAGATCACCGTTCTGCTCTGCCAGTCGCTTTAAGCGGCGCTTCTCGATCTTCTGTCGTCGCCTTTCGATTTTGGCGGCCGCATCTTTGCCCTCCAGGTCTAGTCCGTTGAGCCATCGCTCTAGTCCGACTTCACGGAAGAGAAATTCCCGCTCGGCCAGACCCCCTCCCTCCGAATCGGGAACACTGACCCATCGAGAGTTGACCCAGGTCTCCTCTCCTCTTCGGAGGAGCGTGGCCACCTCCTCCTTTTGTCGTCCGTCAAAGTATATGTAAGCAGCGACCGTCTCGTTGGGTGAGTTGGTCAGCGCCTGATACGGAGCAACCATGCTTGAGTATTGTCCCCGCTCTTCCGTTTGGCCCGGTAACCCTCCGACAATCTTGGGTTTCGGCATCGGGTTATCGAGAGTCGACTTCGGGGCGGAGTAGGGTACATCTTGGCCGGGGTTCAGTAGTGTGATCGAAATGGCAAAGGTCGATTGCTCGGGCTTGCTAGTAGCGGTGTCGGGGAGTTTGGGAGGCGGTACGGGAATGAAGCAAGCTATGCGAGAGGCCCGAGACTGGCGTTGGATCGAATACTCGGAAATCGGGCCATCCGGAGTGTGTATACTCACGGCGAGACCCTTGAAGCATGGCATGACGCGTGGAGGCAAGGAGAGAACGAAAGTCCCTTTATGTGATGACAGTCCAAACAGACGTAAGAGCAGTCGGACGAGGGGCAGGGAGGGGGACCGTCGAGGAAGGTGAAAATGGTCGTGGGGAGAGGAGCGTAGTCAAGCGTTGTGGAGGCGGTCAGGATAGTGTGTTGAGATTGCTACCGACGATCCCCAAGACTAGGAACTACTCGATGCGAGAGCGCGGGTCGGTCGTAGCCACGGCGGCTGCAGGCCGCGGGGGGGGGAATGGAAACGAGAATCGTGGGAGATGCGATGCGCCTTCGGGTTGAATACACGCAGCCGAAGCGAGGAGGGGATGTGGGAGAGGGAAAAATTGGTTCAGATTCTGGGAAGGCCCCGCGAAATGTTAGCCAATTTACTAGCGGTGCGGAGGGGTGAAAGGAGGGAGCGAGAGGGAGTGATGGGTTGTTAGTGTTGGCGTTAGTTTAGTGTCAGTAGTAGGCGGGACAACCGACCAGGAGTGAATAATAATAACAAGCGGATAGAGATTAGGGATCGATGACGAAACCGAGAAAGGGGATGAAGAGATTCTGTAAGGCTAGAAGATCTGACACTGATGATGATTGACGTAGGAGACGACGTGGGATAAGAATAGCAGTCATGAATGAATGAATGACTGAATGGGGAATGGCAAGGAAGGGGGGGAAGAAGAGGAAGATCGACGGGCCTCCGCCTGATTGCGATCCCTGGGTCCTGAGCCTTGGTGCCTTGGAACTGGGGAGGTCCGCTGCCAAGCTTCTTTCTCTCTCTTTCTCTCTCTTTCTCTCTCTTTCTCTCTCCGTCGCTATTTATTCTCCCAACTTCATATACGGACAGGTGTAATTGGGTTCCCAAAGATGATAGATAGATTCCATATCAGATTCCCCCGTCCGCTAAACAAAAATACAAGATTATTCAGACTGGATCCCCCGTCGTCGCGCCTCCTCGCGAGCCAGATCGGCTAAATGAGGGAAATCTCGACTGAGATTGTTGAACAACACTTCCGCCTTTGCGCGCTTCCGTTGTTTGATTTCACTTTCCAACTGGCGAATGGTCTCCATGACCTCTGCGTGAGAATCTGTCAGAGTCAAATCCATGAGGACATCGGCCGACTGCCGGAGATTGTCTAGCTTCCTTTCGAGCGCTGCGATACTTTCTCCACTCCCTGACGACGGGAATTCCGAGTGACGGCGATCATTCCGGGGTCCGCTGGGGTCGCGAGATGTACCATTCTGCGGCACCGAGGATGCCGATGACATCGGCTGATGCATTATACCGCTGCGAGGGGTCGACGTGGCTTCGACGGGTGAATTTTGATCTTCGACAAGGTCGCTAATGCGCAGCTGTCCCTTTGGCCCAAGAGATCCGTTGCAACTTGGGGCGTTAAAAGATGTCCCATTAGACGGAGTAATGTCGACAACCTCTGGTCTTGCACTTGGAAGGTGCGCATGACCATTTTGCAGCCATACTTTGACCTGTTCGTCTTCGCTTGACCCCCGGGACCGTTTCTGCCCACGGGGGGTTATGTCGCCATGTGGAGAGACGCCGTGTAAGGGCAAGTTGGCCTTTTTACCTCTCTTTTGGTCAAAAACGTTATCCACAAAACCATAAATGCGCCCTCGGGGGTCAACGGGTTTGATGCGCGCCCGGACTGGTTTATCTCTGCTTTGGTATGGGTGGGCAGAATGGCAACATCGGCAATTACATATGCGCACGCATTTAGGGCAACTCCATGCTTCATCCTTGCGGAGAAACGTGAGAAGATCAACATCGAAATGCCTGTAAAGACCACGGAAGCAGAAAAAGGCGTCACATATAGGGCACGTAATACCCTTCCACACAGGGTGGCTATCTCGACACAAGTGGCACAGCCGCTCCTAGATAGAGTTAATTTTTTTTTGTCCTCGCTGGTCACGTAGAGAGCTTTTTCAAGCTCGAACACCTTACCACTTGTTGCCTCCGTGCGTCCGCCGCCGCCATAGCGAGCGTACCCAACGACCTTTTCCTAGTGGGCATGTTAGCTAACGAGTCTCGAGAAATCTGTTCCGACCGAAGAGAACAGGCCGAAGGTCTCAAAAGCCCCTTGGTGACCATACCTGGAATCTCTTATCTTCGAAAGCGAATTATCTTGCAATACCTCTGTGGATGCTCTTATGATTTCCTGACAATGCCGACTGGGCAATAATTCCGCCCAAGCATAGCTAGCGGTATGCTTGCAACTGCGGCCGGAAACGAAGCATGTTAGGCAAAGGTCAAAATCTCCGCACTGTTCACAGTGCAAGTGCCGATTCCAGATCGTTAGTCCACAAAAGTTACACTCCACAACTGCTCCTTGCGTATCAACAAGCTTGACCGAAACATTTGGATCGTTTCCGATATCTTCGTCATCGACCAGTCGCTGGAAGATCTCCAAAAGAAGTCGAGTCTCTGGCACTCTAAGGCTACTGTTCAGAGCATGAAATGGTATCAGAGGGACTCGTCCCGTGTCTGCATGACACTGCATTTGATAAACTGGCTGCACGTAGTCGAAGAAAGACTCGAGTGAAGAAGCGTGCATGATGTTCCATACTACCTTCGTGACCAGAGAGCTGGTGTTCCATATTTGATGGGAAGTCGCCGACGGGAACACCACCAAGTCCCCAGGTTCCTGATACGTTATGTATATGGGAAATTTGGCTAATTTGAGCTTTTCGATAGGAACATTGGCCCAGTCGGTGTGAGATGACTTTCCGAGTTCCTCCATGAATGCGTCGTATTGAGTTCGTGAGCTCGTGTCTGTACCAAAGCATAATGTTCCCGGACCTTGACCTTCAGCAAATATTAGTAGATGCCAAAAGAATTTGTAGTTTGCCCCCAGAGTGTTATGGTAAAATCCGCCCCAGACAAGTCCGACGCACCTTCCGATCCAATTAGAAGATTAAGAGCAACAGTTGCACTGAAGCATCTGTGAAATCCGGAGCTAGACGTTGAAGGTACGATTTAACAAATGGATGTAACGACAGTTTTCGGGGCTCTCGTTGTACTCACAATGACTTTCGTGTCCCAACATAAGCCATCAAAACTTCCGGGACAATCTCCTTCGGCAGCACTCGGAACAAGTCGAGCGAACCTAGATGCCTCAGTGACGATGGTAAGACGGTTTCCAACGCACGAATCCACTCAGAAGGGCATTGAAGGTCTTTCGCATATAATCTAGCAAGACGGTTAGTCAAGCAGAGCAAGGTTTATGTACAGAAACCTGGGTTACTGCATACAATTCTTTGATGATATTGGTGCGATCATATCCTGCTGTCGACAACAGATCCCGCAGTCGCATTCTTACATCTCGGCCTGATTGACAGTTCCTAATGGGAATAGCTACCCAACGGTATCGAGTGTATCGTCAGCCCGGTCCATCGAACTATTCTTATGTTTCACACGATCCGGCGTACCTTCCGAGGACGATAAAACAGCCAAGCTATCCTTATTGAAGATAGACGCATTCCAGCTCTCCAGGCGGTTGAATCCGCGAAGGACGAAGGGACGGCCTTCTTTTAGCCTGTCCTGCACCCAGTTACTGCCATCTCTGCTCAGCAAGTCGCGGGAGGTCTCAATCGAGAACTCGGAAAAAGGGACAAACGGGTCCCCGGACTGGAGAAGGCTATGGAATGACGGAACGTTTGCATCAGAGAAGTCCATAGCAGGCGGAGTAATTTGATGCTAAATATAATCAAATATCACGAACCAGCGGTGGTATGTTGTGTTTGTAGGGGTCTTGCAATGTCATGCGATATCAGAGCGCATCTCGGAAACGATGATCACTCGATGATGATGCCTCGGGCATCTGCACGTGACACTGATATCGCCTAACTGGATTTGGCAAGTCATTTCACGGTACTGATTTACTCCATCAATATGCATCTGAATTGGTTGATGCATAACTCAACTTCGATGTGAGTGTTCTCTTTATCTTACTATACAGGCAAAGACTGACTTCATATGTTGCTATCAAATTACACGCCGTGAATGGAGTCACAGGCTCACAGCATCCACGAGCCAAACAAGTCCCGGTCCCACCCTGAGATCTTTCCGTCGATCGGACAAACACTAAACAGACAGATTGAAATGATCACAACTCGCTTCGTCAAACCCAATCTCTGGCGAGGAAGCCTGTACAATACTACACCCAGATATCTTCACATATCCAGGTCAACCATGTCGCCAATAATTCATTTTGTGCGCCATGCTCAAGTATGTTGCTAGCATCACAAACCCCGCAGCTCACATCTCAAGCAAGCACGGTACTTATCAAAGCCACGGTGCCCTCTGCAGGGCAAGCACAATATCTCTCTCGAGTACAGCCACATCCCAGATCCAACTATCACTGAGAAAGGCATCGAACAATGCCAGGAGCTCCAGAGAGACTTCCCCCGCCACGCGCACATCGATCTTGTGGTGTCGTCTCCTTTCCGACGGACTCTCTACACTGCGCTGAAGGGCTTCGAACCTGTGTTTACTGCACACCCGGATAAAACGATCCTCTTGCATCCTGATCTTCAGGAGGTTTCTGATTTTCCTTGCGACGTTGGGAGTGAGCGCGGCGCTCTTGAGTCCGAGATCCGGAACAACAAGGTCCCTGCCGACATGAGCTTGGTTTCTGACGGTTGGCAACTCAAGGTAAGAAGGTCACTAGACGATCTATTTAGAGCTCTAAACTCGGCGAGCCCGTTATATCGCCTTCGCACTTTCTCCCCTTCAAACTGACATCAAACAGCGTGGGAAACATGCCCCAAACCGCGAAGCCATCACCCTGCGTGCTCGCGACATGCGCTGCTGGCTAAGAGATAGACCCGAAAAAGAGATAGTGGTCGTCACACATGGAGGACTTCTTCATTACATGACCGAGGACTGGGAAGACAACTGTAGAAACACAGGTCAGTGCAATTTCCTTCATCGGTTATCCAACCCCGGATGGGCCTACTAAGATCCTCCCAGGCACTGGCTGGATGAACACTGAATATAGAACCTACCGATTTACCGATGAGGTCTTTGATGATCTGGGCGGCATAGATCTTCAAGGACGCAATGCTAATTTGGTCGAGACGGAAGAGTCTCGCGTTCGTCGTGGAAAGCCTCGAAATCCTCCCACGCGAGACGATCAACGGACGCTTTATAAACTGGGGCTCGAGGGCTGGGCTGCGCAGGGGCTCGTTATGAATGTAGCCGAACTGGAGGAGCGGGAAAGGAATCGCGCGGCTATAGATGAAGACAAGATCTAGAAGGATAGAGTGGGCTCGATGATTAAGATGGTCTTTACAATCTATTGTTGGTTATCTTTAGCACCTAGTTAAACGTTGTTGCCGGCTGACTTGCTTTGTATATATGACCCCATTTTTTTATATTGCTCATAACTATACACAGCTTTAGGCATAAGTGTTAGCTTAGGCACCGCTCGTCATCGCCAGCGAGAAAGATAAAAATAAAAATAAAAACAGCCTCTACAAGAAAGACGGTACAATGTCACACCAGATGCTAGGCACTGGTATTAGAGCCCCTCGCCGGAAATTTCTTTGGTTGAGGACTACTAGTCTGGTCGTACCGGGATTTTGAATCAATCGTGTGTTACGCAACACATAGACGCGGGTCACCTCACCAGAGGCTGTGTCAGGAAAATTCGCAACAGGTCACTTCACTTGTTACTGTAACTGCGATTCTGATGAACAGGGGTCTATGGACGCGTTGGATACTATGTATAGAGCTACATAAATATACTGTGAAGATTTGGTGGCACCACCAAGCGAATGGCGATCAGCACAATAAATTAACTCAACTACATGTTCAAGCTCACATGCGGCGCGAATACGAGCGGAAAAAGAAAATAGATAATATAGTGTCGGGCAATGGCGACCGGAACTGAAAAGTGTTTTGCGCCGCCACCTGTTCTAATTAAAATGCGTCGAACCATTTCAACCAAAACAAGCGTGGAGATAGTTACAGAGTACAGTACATATGGTTTCGAAGCGGACGAATGTTAGACAGGAGTTGGAATTGTACATAGGTCTGCATGTACTGGGGCTAGAACCCAAGAAGACCCTGTTAGTATTTTGCTGCGGGATTATCCTGGCGATGGCGAAACCGACCGGGTTCACTTAGTATACCTGTTGCTATACACAGTTACGGTGTGAATCGAATAATCTTCAGGCAGACTAACCCGGGCCAGTTAAGCTCAGCCCCGGCCAGACCGAGAAAATTCCCCACTCGGCGTTGCAACCCCGGACGCTCGAGCCGTCATTGGCGTGGAGAGGACGGCGCCATCCCCCGTTGGTCAGGAGGGCAAGATGCGCGGTTTGTTCGACGGGCGCTTTTCGCTCAGCCCATCGTGACTTTTCTCTTTTTTCTTTTTTCTTCTTATTCTCTCGCTCTTTGAGGTCATGGTTTTTGCCTCCTCAACCGTTCAGCCTAGAATATTTTTGAGCAATCATAATACCGCCTTTGTTGAACTCTATTCATCTTTCTTGTGTGCATCACGTCAGGTTGGTTTTCTTTGTTGCGGCGGAAGGGGGTGGTAAGGCATGTTCGAGCGTTGCTGATATCCGACCTAGAAGAACGCGGTCAGTCCGACAGACGACGCACAATCAGAAACATATTGCATTTACGACTTACCTAAGATAGATCCCTGAGGTTACCCTGAATGGTTACACCAAAATCCAATATGACAGCCACGGCTTGAGCCCCCCTAGCTAGTAGTCAATCGTTTCAGTCCGGAGTCTCTGGCTGTAGTTTAGTGGGTATTGGAAACCAGCGTTGACGTTCCTTCGTGTTTATGGGTTTCAGCCATGTGAGCACCAGCCAAGACCCAAAGGACAGCCTCCCACGACGAAAACGTCCAGGGAAGCAGAACGCCGTCTCACTCAGCCACCGCGCGAAGAGGTGGACGCTATACACCGTGGTATCTGAGTAGTAGAGGCCGATTCCCGCGCTCAGTCGCCGCTTCGGGCTTAGTGGCGCCGAGCTAATCATCTTCCCAGCCAAGAGTAGCCAATGATTTCTTGACTCTTCGTGGCATCGCAATGGGAGCGTGGCGTTTTTAGTATCACCTTCGCTTCGATGGTCTGGGCGCAAGCGAATCATCACTAGGAGCAAAGAATCCTCAAAAGAAAACGAAGGGGAAAGAAAAATAGAGAAGGAACGATGTCACTTAGGAGTGGATTCTGGTTGGAAAAAGGGGCCAAATAACCCTAAAACGATTAGACTTCGATTCCCTGAGCTGGTCTATCGCCGTTTCACTGTCTAAGGCAGCCTTTTCTACAACATTAGCAAATGCCCCGTTCTGTTCGTGGCGTATGGGATGATCATGACCTGCAAGCCTGTCAACAGCCTTCGGTTTCGAGAAGCAAAATTCTGACCACACACAAAGGAACGCGGCAAAGTTCATTGCCCGACACGTGTGTGCGTTGACCCTGATGCCTTGACCAACTTCAACAAAGAGAGTTTTCTTCAGTGTCAGCGGACCCAGAGGAACCGCACTACCCCGTAAGAAACTGCCAAGCATCCTGGACTGGCGCGAGGAACAAGTATCACACAGAATATTCCTAGCGGCATTGTTAGTATTGGTCTGTTCCCCCCTAAGTTGCTCAGAAGGTCGGTCGGAGAGGGAACAAAGAAATAAAAGAAATCCAGAAGAGGTCGAGAAGAAAACAACACGGGGGGCGGACTGGAACCCACCGGTGGAACGAGTAGAAAGAGTCAAAGAAGCCAATTCCCGTTCCAGGAGAACAGAAGCGGGAGGTATAGTCTGCCTGAGGAACACATCACGCTACTTCACCCATGGGTTGTGTCCTCCACATAAAGGAGAACTCCGCATTAGTTACCAGAAAAAGGCTCCGTCAAAGGTCATACATGCGTAAACTGTGGTAAAAGGAACCAATCGACGCCACTCAAATCGGAGGTAACAAGAGGAGTTGGGCCCCAATCCACAGTCGAAAATCCCGGAGTTCCCCAGAAAGTGACAGCAGGTACGAGGGAAGTCACCTGCTATTTTATCAGCCCTATTGCCCTTTTTACTCTCCTTCACTTCCCTCTTTCTTTTTCTTCCTCTGCTCACCCCCGCACTTCCTCTCTCTCTCTCTTGTTTCCCCGCGTCGCGTCTTATTCACTGTGTCTTCACTCTGTCCTATCGCGTCTCACCTTCCTTCCTTGCCTTGATTCATTTCATCGTTTGTCATCGTTCTTCATCGTTCTCCATCGTTCACTCTCTTTATTCATCAACACCCTGCAGTCGCCATGGCTGCAAATATGGGGAAGGCTGAAATCGATGATTCCCAGATCGTAGCTCCCAATGTCACTGTCCAGAAGCGGTTGGTTGCATCTCCAATCTTCCTTTGAGTTCCCGTGGCTGACGTCTGTGTAGCGTCAGTGACGACCAGGAGACCGCCGAAAAGGGTCACTTTGAGCATATCAATCTCAACCAGAATACCTCTGCAAAGTAAGCTTGCCCACCTTTTTCATCACCCTATAGATGTTTGTTCTCGGTTGCTAATTCTTTCCTAGGATTAAGAACCCTCTCGCTGACTTGAGTATTGAAGAGGTTCTTCACGATGTTGAGGACTTCGCTCATGAGCATCAACTGAACGACATTCTTCCTGATCTGAAGAAGGGTGCTCTTGTCGCTCGTGATCCCAACAACTATGAGTCAGTCCCTGACATGTCGGCGGCTGACATTGCCGCAATTGAAAACGAGGTCACTCATAAGTGGCGCCAGCCCGTGGCCTTGTATTTTACCATCATCCTTTGTTCCATCGGGGCTGCAGTCCAGTAAGTGTTCCTTGGTATTCCTGGTGGAATCTGCAACTGTGAATGTGGACTAATCCCCGTGATAGAGGATGGGATCAGACTGGAAGTAACGGTAAATAACACAATTGGCCCTTGTGAAAAGATGATGGATTACTCATGGTTTTTTTTAGGAGCCAACCTTTCCTTTCCTGATGCGCTTGGAATTCCCGAGAAGGATAATCCTAATGCCGAGAGAAACCAGTGGCTTGTTGGTGTTGTGAATGCGTGAGTCGCGCCTGTCACATGCTCTATTGAATGGATATAGTAGCTAACCCATACCATAGAGGACCATACATGGCCAGCGCTGTCATTGGTTGCTGGCTGTCGGACCCCCTCAACAAAATCATGGGCCGCCGAGGTGTTATTTTCATTTCCGCTATTTTCTGCTTGCTGACTCCCATCGGCTCTGCCGTCTGTCAGACCTGGCCTCAGTTGCTTGTCACCCGTCTTCTTCTTGGCCTTGGAATGGGATTGAAAGCGTCTACCATCCCTGTCTTCTGTGCAGAGAATTGCCCAGCCATAATCCGTGGAGGTTTGGTGATGAGCTGGCAACTGTGGACAGCTTTCGGCATCTTCCTCGGTACCAGCGCAAATTTGGCTGTCAAAGATACTGGAGACATTTCGTGGCGCCTTCAGCTTGGCTCAGCCTTCATTCCCGCCGTTCCTCTTCTCATTGGCGTGTACTTCTGTCCCGAATCGCCCCGTTGGTTTATCAAGAATGGTAAGATGAGGCAGGCGTATCAGTCTCTCTGCCGCTTGCGCAACACGAAGTTGCAGGCTGCACGCGACCTGTATTACATCAACGCCCAGATCAAGATTGAGCAAGAGATTGCAGGCCAGGGTACTTATATCAAACGTTTCATCGAACTGTTTACTATTCCCCGGGTCCGACGTGCCACTCTTGCCTCATTCGTGGTAATGATTGCGCAACAGATGTGTGGTATTAACATTGTGGCGTTTTATTCTTCCACCATCTTTCAAGAGGCTGGTGCTAGCGTCACGGGGGCTCTCTTTGCTTCGTGGGGGTTTGGGTTGGTCAACTTCCTATTTGCCTTCCCGGCCATATTCACCATCGACACGTATGGTCGCAGAACCTTGCTACTGTTTACCTTCCCGCAGATGGCCTGGACTCTGTTGGCTGCCGGCTTCTGCTTCTACATTCCGAGGGACTCTACAGCACACATTGCCTGCATTGCTCTGTTCGTCTTTTTGTTCGCTGCATTCTACTCGCCCGGTGAAGGTCCCGTGCCTTACGCCTATTCCGCAGAGGTTTTCCCTTTGTCTCATCGCGGTAGGTTACTTCTCTCCTGACTCGGGGTATCTATAGTTACTGACATATCATGCAGAGGTTGGAATGTCTTGGGCTGTTGCAGTTTGCCTCAGCTGGGCTGCAGTGCTTTCTATTACCTTCCCTCGTATGTTGCATGCTATGACGCCAACTGGAGCATTTGGCTTCTACGCGTGAGTTTTGATCTTTGGTTTCCTCTGTCCACCTGCGATCTTGAATCTAACTTAACCAGTGCATTGAATATGACCGCCTTGGTCATGATCTTCCTTTGGGTGCCTGAGACCAAGCAGCGTACTCTCGAGGAGTTAGACTACATCTTTGCGGTCCCAACCCGCGTTCATATTCACTATCAGGTCTTCAAGGTTCTTCCCTGGTGGATCCAGCGATTCATCTTCCGTCGCAAAGTCGAGCTGGAGCCCCTTTACAAGTTCGACCACATTGCCACTCGCACCACTTAGACGGCGGACTCTGGTGAAAACTTCATCGTCATCCATGTTGCATGGTTGGTGGTTACAGCGAACCAGGTGATCTTTTCCTTTTCCCAACTTCAATTGATAATGATATCTTCGGTCCCTTGGATGTCTTCACGTCGGTTTATTAGTTCGCGAGATGAGGGATATCTTCGGAGGTCTGTTTTCCATATCCTCGTAATATCTAATCAGGAAATAACATGTATTACTAGTTGCGTGTGATATACTCGGGGACTGAATAATAATACATTTTCGAATGCATCGATTCTTGTTTAGCGCGTATTCTGTAGATTCGTGTAGATTCCGAGAGTGGAGCGGCTCCACGTGCCTCTCGGAGATCATGTGGAGGCATCCTGATCCGGCATAGCCTGTCCTCCCTTTTAATAGCTTCGCTTCAAGGGGGCCACAGTTGCGCAGTCTTTCTCATCCAACGTTTTCATCATGACTTCTCGATACCCCGCGCGCACTTGCTCATCTTCTCGGCCTTGCCACGTCAAACTATGCCGCAGCCAGCCCGCGTCGTTTCTTTCCGGGAAATCCTCTCGAGCGTGGCTCCCACGACTTTCCGTCCTCTGCACAGCTGCATGCGCGGTCTGCGCCGCACAGGTCAGCAAATTGCGCAACTCAAGCGTCTCTACAAGGTCCGAGTTCCATATTAAGCTACGATCCCTCGTAGCCAATCGCGTCGAGAAATCGTGCTGCACTTGTTGTACTTTAGACGTGCCTTCGATGAGAGACGACTCGGTCCGAAATACAGCAATGTCTGACTGCATAGCTCGCTGGAGCTGCTCCCGAATATGTGCCGTCAACATATCGCCATCCGCGGTCCGGACGCGGTGCATGTCTCGGATCGAGTCCAGCCCAATGGTTGCGTTCCCCGAGCAAGACGAGTATAGCGGCATGTTAGGCTCGTTGTTCTCGGCGATATCAATGGCACATGCACGTCCAAATACCACGATATCCAGTAGAGAGTTGGCGCCAAGCCGATTGGCCCCATGGACGCTAACGCAGGCCGCTTCACCCGCAGCATAGAGTCCAGGGGCGGGAGACTCGGCGCCCTCCGTGGAAACCCTTAGGACCTGACCCTTGAAGTTTGTGGGGATCCCACCCATACAGTAATGGACCGTTGGCACCACGGGGATAGGGTCTCGGGTGACATCGATGCCGGCGAATATAGACGCCGTCTCCAGGATGCCAGGTAGCCGATTATGAATAAGATCGCGCGGTAGATGCGACAGTTGCAGATGAATGTGGTCACGGTGTGGTCCGCATCCACGGCCCTCCCGAATTTCCAGATTCATGGCGCGGGCTACCACATCCCGACTCGCAAGATCCTTGGCGGTAGGAGCATATCGTTCCATGAACCGCTCGCCCTGGGAATTAAGCAGGTATCCTCCCTCGCCGCGTGCTCCTTCAGTGATCAGCACTCCAGCGCCATATATGCCGGATGGATGAAACTGAATAAACTCCATGTCCTGATTTGGAAGGCCGGCACGCGCGACCATAGCACTGCCATCACCAGTGGAGGTATGAGCAGATGTGCAGGAGAAGTAAGCCCTGCCATAGCCCCCCGTGGCGAGCACTGTATTACGAGCGAAAAATCGATGAAGACTGCCATCTTCTAGAGACAAGCAGATGACCCCAACACAGGCTCCGTCCACCATAAGCAGGTCGAGCGCGAAAAATTCGACAAAGAATTCAGTGTCGTGCTACATCGATTAGCGCGTGTTCAGCCTCCCAAGACGAATGAGTTTCGACCTGCTAGTCTCCCAACTTACCTTTAATGCCTGTCCATATAACGCATGCAGCATGGCATGTCCCGTCCGGTCCGCGGCGCAGGCCGTCCGATATGCCTGCCCTCCGCGTCCATACTCCAAACTCTGTCCACCCAGAGCCCGCTGATAGATTCTGCCGTCCTTGGTTCGTGAGAAAGCCATCCCATATCCTTCCAGCTCATAAATCGCTTGCGGAGCTTCTCGCGTCATGTAATGGATAGCATCCTGATCCCCAAGCCAGTCGGATCCTTTGACTGTATCAAACATGTGCCACCGATAGTCGTCCCGGGTCATATTGCCCAGGGCAGCATTGATACCGCCCTGTGCGGCGACCGTATGAGATCGCGTCGGAAACTAAGTTGGCTATTAGCAACAGATTTGGCCTATTTATCTCACGATTGTATACGCACGAGTTTCGTGATACAGGCTGTTTTGAGTCCGGACTCGGTCAGCCCGACGGCGGCGCGAAGACCGGCTCCTCCGGCTCCCACGACGAGGGCACTACAGTGGCCTTAGATTCAGTCTCTGACCAAATGTTCAATTATAATTGTCTGACGATATCTGGGGTACCTACTCGTAATGATGGTCGAACAGAGGGGTGTCTGAGTGAGGTAACGGCTGTGTGGAAACCGATGACAGCCGTCGATTGGTCGGTCCCAGCACCTTGTTATGGCACCGGGCCAGACGAGAGATACGAGGTAGACGATACATTGGAGGATCCTAATGAGCACAGTGGGTTTGAAGACTAAATGGCCAGCTGCGTTCGAACAACGGCGACGTCTCGGAAAGCAGATTACGAGAGAGATAACCGAGGTTCTCCACACCGTCTCGGAACCTTCGGCCAAGAAATAAGACAAATCAGACGGTTTTCATTCGCCGGCGATGGAGAAGGCGTCTCGTCTAATATACCACTAGAACAGTGCACAATCCACTCTGATCTACAGGAGCATCCGACCTGGTCGATAACTGCGCCACACCTCGAACCCGAGCTGTTCATACCAGCCATCCAAAGCCACCCAGTCCACGAAAACCCCCTCAATGCCTCTCTGCTTCATGTTTTCGATCGCATGGCTGACAAGAGCGAGACCGACTCCACCGTTGCGATGGTCTTTGTCCACGCCTACGCAGCCGATCAGCCCCGTTTTGGGGCCACAGATGGGAGGGAAGGCCCAATTCTCCCGGAGGATGTCGCATTCCGGCCCCAGCATGAGCGCCCAGCCAACCTGGTTGCCTTTATCATCCCACGCAGTCATGATGCTGGAGGGGTACACAGTTGGATCAAGGTCCATGAATTTTTGAACCCAGGCCTGCCGAGGACAATTAGTTCTGAGCATTTACAAAGGCTCTACGCCTCTCACCTCGTTATCAGAGAAGTTTCTCTTCTGTCCTACCAAGCCTTTCAGAAAGCCTTCTGGTTTTAAAGGTTCAAACTTATAGCCTCGGTCCCGAGCTCTAGCGACGTATTTTTCCGGGGCCTGGAAGTCCCGGATGTCCTGGTACAGGTCAACAGACCGGGCCGACGCGGGATTGAGCTGGAAGCCCCGATGGACGAAAAATTGTAGGACTTCGGAAGGCAGATCAGTGGGAACTCCGGGCCAGAATCGAGGAAATGAGCTTCCCAGCTCCAAACGAGCGTTCTTAAACTCTTTCTTGAGCCACGACCGGCATGCTGCAACTAGAGCGGTTCCCAAGCCCAGCCCCTGCTTGCTCGGATCAACCGCCAACGCCGCCAGATGACCGCAAGTAACGTTCTGTCGTTCCTCGGTGAACAAAAGGCAGAACCCAATGAGATTTTTTCCATGTCCCACGACAAAATGGTGTCCATTTTTTGGTTCCATTAGCGGTGATGTTTCAAGTAGCGGGTAAGTGGGCAGGGCTTTTCTCCAAAGCGCCAGCACAGGGTAAAAGTCTCTCGCCGCCTGGTAGTTATCTACCTTGATCCATTGTGGTGTTGGCTTTAGTGATCCAACTGGCAGTTGACCCTTCTGAAGATCTCCTTCACCTTTCATGCGCTTAACGGCTGCTGAAAAAGCTTCGATCGTTGGTTCATATGTAGTGACGTATGTTCTAATGCTCACATCATCTAGGAAGTCGTAAGGGCTGCAAGCGGCAATAGCAACGAGATTCCGAGCACGCTGTGGCAGTTCAAGGCCTAGGTTTCTTTGATATTGCGATTCTCGCGCATTGATGGATGTGAATACAACGACATCGGCGGCCTCGACGCGACTCCACTCCTCCGATGAAAGACCTGGTTCCCCATAGCGAATCTCGGTAGCATTTGCTGATTCCCTTTTGAGTATTTCAAGATACTCAGTGGCGTTGTAAGATCCCTTTCTTCCCAGTCCTTCCCCGTCTACTGCACCACCAGCAGGGGTCTTCTCGCCGGGGAAAAGGAATACCACGGTAGAGGATTCGTCGAAGAGCTTGGAAAAGACACCTGGCTTCTCGCGAACAATAGTAGCGGACTTCGAATAGACCTTGGTAGCCAGTTCAAGCGCCTTGTCATTGATGGAGACAAGGCCATCGAGGCCCTGGGGTTTCAACGCTGCGTCCCAACTTAAGAAATCTTGCTTCACCTTGGTGACCCGGCGATGGGCTTCCTTCAAGCGCGCCATTGGGATTTTCCCGGACTCGACAGCCTCTATAACTTGATCGATAGACGCCACCTGCACACTATAGGTATGGCAGATCATGATGCTGTCGCTGCCAGCCCCAAGAGCAAGGACTGCCCCTTGCTCAGTACCGTAGGTTGCACGGATTCCGTCCATCTCCAGGCAGTCTGTAACCACCATGCCATCATACTGCATGTCCTCGCGCAGGATGTTCAAGGCATCGGTAGAAAGCGTGGCGGGGAGGGTAGAACCCCTAAGAGCAGGCAGGGAGATATGTGCGGTCATCACGGCCTCTATGCCTTCGGCGACTGCTCGGCGAAAGGGTCTCAATTCACATTGCTCTAGTTGATCCCTCGTCTTCTGTATCACCGGGAGTCCGTAATGCGAGTCCACCGCAGTATCTCCGTGACCGGGGAAATGCTTGACGGTAGGGACAACTTTCTGCTCTCTGAGACCTCGCGCAGTAGCACCCGCAAACCGCCCCACGAAACCGGGGTCATCCCCGAAACTACGTACACCAATGACGGGGTTCAGGGGCTCCGAGTTAATATCACAGACGGGTGCATAGTTCATATTGATCCCAAACAGTCTCAACGTTTCCCCAGTGGCAGTTCCCACTTTGTAGGCAAGCTCGGGGTCATATGTAGCCCCTAGAGCCATCGCGCCTGGAAGTTGAGGGGCGATTGGCGGCGATATCCTTGTGACAAATCCATTCTCTTGGTCGATTCCAATGAACAGCGGATGCTCATGTCCAGCAGCCTTCGCTTCCTCTTGAAGGGCCAATATTAAAGCCTAGCCGCACAAGTCAGTCATCCTGGCCTGTTCGGTCGGGGAGGGTATCTTTGTCCTACCTGCAATTGGGCGGCGTCCTGAACATTTCGTTTAAAGAGAACAATCCCGCCAAGGCCGTGATCATGGATCAAGGTTTTAATTTCTGGACTCGGAGTGAGGCCATGAAAGCCAACTGCAAAAAGCTATGTCCAGCCGATCAGATTTTTATTCGCCAGGAATTCCTGGGCTGCTTTGAAGGAGCTCATACCTGACCAACTTCTTTCCTTAGCTCCGAGGGCTGCATTTTGATGGTCCCGCTCGATGAATTTTAGGCTTGTGCTGTGCTAAATTGTAAATTCACCGGAACACAAGGACGGTCGGGGCTAGCCAGACACTTCCGGGGTAGTAAGTAGATCACTGGGAACCACAGCAGACTACTGACAGGTGGGATCGGATTCAGGGGGAGGCAAATGGAAAAACGAGAGGGTGATAAACGGAAATGTGAAGAAACAAAGATGTGGGGAAAAAGCGGAGCGGAGACAAGAGCGAAAGTCCGCACTAAGTGAACTAGGGTGAACACCTGAATGCCTGAGGTTGCAACCTCCCAATCAACTGATATTGAAATCAATATAATTACATGTACGGTAAGTCAGAGGAAGCCAAGAGGAAGATCTCCCCGGGGGATGGTCGCCTGCCACAAATGGAAGTCACGGTCACATGCGGGGTAACCTTCCGCCGTCCTTCTTATCAGTAGTGCCTTCCTCTTTGCTCTTCCACGCCTTCTCTCTCCATCTCTTTTGGCACCATTGTTGTTGATTTTCGCACGTTTCTTTGTTTTAGTGTCTGATTAAAAACAGTTCTAGAGAAACATCGCATGAGTGAGCGACATTCCTACTTCTAACAAGGGGTGTCCCGTACTACACTCCTTTCTGATAGACCCTCGCCATGTCGGACGATCATTTTAAACAAGTCCAGGAGACCACATTGGCGGACACGAGCAAGCCGATCGACAACCCCAATGAAAAAGTTGATTCTAATCCAGCAGCTACAACCGCTATGAATCAAAGAAAATCGCATCAGACAGCTCCCAGTCAATTGGCCTATACAGACTTTGAGCGTTTGTTCCGGGCAGAGGAGGCGTACGAGCAGCCGACAACCTCTCGGAGAGAGCTCTGGTCCTACTACCTCTATTACAACGGTATTATCTCGCGTCGGCTCTTTGCTCCAGAGGTCAGGCTGACTTGAATGTCGGTCACATCTAGGCGACAACGGGGTTGGTCCGGGTTCCTACACACAGGCACTGTAGGTCTACCTAGGACTTGCAGACTTTCTAGAGCGTTGGGTTGACTTTGTCCATTCCTCCAGTTTTCAGTGGGCCCTGAATGGAGCAGGATGGCAACCCGGAACCAATCCTCCCAAACCGTGCAGCGATTCGTCTCCATGCGTCGTCCCCTGGGCCGGCGGGACACGATCGGTCTCTTCTGTTGTTCTGATAGCCAATGGTCTATGCTTCGCTTTCATGACTGTAATATTTGTCTGGCTGGGAAGTGCCGCAGACTATGGCTCTTTCGGAAGCTGGTTACTCCTTGTCCTGACAGTGGTCTGCTGGTGTTTGCAGTACGGTATGATGGCCATTAGACATCCTAGTCAATGGCCGGCTGCGATGGGCATGTACATAGTCGCATATGTGGCCTACGGTGCGACGTTGGTGTTTTATGCGGCCGTTTTCCCTCGACTGGCTCGCTATATGCCGCACGTCCGTAAGGCTCGCGAGGAGGATCTGAGAGAGGGCAAAATAAGCCAGGAAGAGTACGACGCCATCGAGTCATTGGAGAGAAACCACATCAGGTATACGTTCTATCTCATCTTACATATGGCTTTCAACTAATGAAGGGATCTCACGCTGTCAGCAACATCTCCACCGCACACAGTAACATAGGCTACTTTCTGACGCTACTCATCAATCTGAGTGTGTTGATACCACTTCAGAACAACAATTACTCCAACAATCTCGCGCTTTGTTTGACAAACTCATGTATGTATCCCCCAATATTCTAATTGACACGATTCTCTAATGCTGGATTCGCAGACTGGGTTGTCCTAGGAGTATGGTGGTTCATGTTCCAGCAGAAACGACCGGGGCCCAAGGTTCCCAAAGGGTCAAACTACGCTACGATTGGGCTCAAGCAACTCTGGCTCGCACTGAAAGAAGTCCGGTCTCTACCACAAACCTTCTTATACTTTGTAGCCTACTTCTTGCTAGCGGATGGGCTGAACACCACAGGTAAGCAGTGAATAAACTTCATCCATCTGCAAAGGGGTAAGAAGAGCTAACAGAAGTTTTTCCTCTTTTCCCCTAGGAACGCTGGTGTCTATCATCCAGAATGACTATGTGTCTTTTTCATTTTTACAAATAACATACCTAGGAATCACACAGGCTCTGTGTTCGATAGCCTCGACCTTTGGGTTCTGGTATATCCAGAATTACTTCAAAATCCGCACCAAGCGAATGTTCCTTGTCACGAATTTCTTCAGTGTACTGATCCCATTATGGGGCATGCTAGGCTTGTGGACAAATCGCATTGGCTATCATCATCGGGCGAGTTCTCAAATAGGTATACAGCCCTAGGAGCTTTGCTGACTTGAAGATAGTGGGAGTTTTACTTCTATAACGCCATCTTCGGACTGTTCCAGGCTCCTTACTATGCCGTGCGTCAGAGTCCAAAACCAATCCACCTGACATTTTTACTAATTATTTCTAAATTAGTATGCGCAAACAATGATCAGTGAACTCATGCCACAGGGCTATGATAACATGTTCTTCGCCCTTTTCGGAATCACTAATCGTGCTGTGAGTTCAACCTTGTTAGGAAACGTCCATGTTCCCTACATCTGACAACTCCTCTACAGTCGTCGATCATCGGTCCCAACGTTATCCAAGCGATTATCAACAATACACAAAACAACTGGATGGGGTTCCCTTTCCTTTTCGCTATCTGCGCTGCCGCCATGATAGCGATTGGGTTTGTGGATGTGGAAAAGGGCCGCGAGGACAGTCGAAAATTCGTCCTAGCGCGCACCATCGTTCAACCTGCGGACGAGCCTCGTGTAGATCTTGGGAAAGATGGCGTGCGGACGACAGTCGGAGAAGGAAACTTGTCTGGCGTAGGTGGAGAAAGTAGTGGAAGATCTCACCAACACTAAAAGAAGGGGGTGGGAGGGCGGTTTAGCTGCGTGTTCATGCCCAAAGGGCAAAGACCCAAAGACAGTGGAGCATCTTCATTCTCAGGGGCTGGTCATCAGGCCCAATAAGATCCGAGATTAATGTCATGTGTCCCTATAGTGCGCTTGAGTAACTAAATTTCTTTTACTCAGTAGACGCTACGAGTCCGAATTAAGTCCGGAAGCATATCCACAATGTGCAACACCAATAGGTTCCAAAAGTACTTTTAGGATTTTTTTCTAGCCACTTTTAAGCCACCCTTTTTCTTTTTGTGGATCCTCGTGTTCCTCCCAGTGGTATCTATCTAGCTAATTACAATATGAGATGTACATATATACAGTAGACATAACGAATGATGTGACAGAGCAATAAAACAACGAAATGGAAACCGAACGTATGAAGAAAGACAGGAAACAAAAACGGAGCAAAAGGAATAGAAACACAGAGTGTGTAAGGTAGAGAGAGAGAGAGAGAGAAGACTCAAGCCAGACCCTTCCGTCTGGCCACCTTCTCCTCACATTTCAAATCGACATTTTCTCGCCAGCGCGGTCCAAACTCCGCCGTCAACCAGACCATCGCACCGGCCAGCACCAAAAACAACCCGGAGAGGGTATTGAACCAACCGACGCCCATCTCCTGGATAGCAGGGAGGGCTACACCCGTGCCCAACGCCGCGAACACGTATCGGAAGAGGTAGCTCCCCGCAACGACCTCAGCACCACGTCCCTTCAAGACTTCGAGACAGTAGGTGTTCAGACTAGGTTGACAGAAGAGTTGAAAGACGCCCTGCAGGAACATGAAGGCGACAGGGACCGGGATGCCGCCGACATCCTGATCCAGACTCCATCCGTAGATGAGGATAGAGCCGGGAGTCAGGACACAGATGAAGATGAGACACGAGCGGAGGCGGTCTTCGGGGATACGCAGGCCGTTACGTCGCGCGATGTATTTCTGCACGACGTAGTCGGCCCAGCGACCGCCGACGAAGGTTCCTGCTAAGAAACCCGCGCCGGGAGCGAGGTAGAATAGACCCGCTTGCACGGGGCTGGTGAGGTTGAATCGAGGGTTGAGGACAGGTCGGATGGGTGTGAGCAGGGCGTATTGGTTCCAGACTAGGGCGCCGGCGGCAAGTCCGGTCCAGAAGAGGTTGGGGTAGGAGGCGTAGAGGGAGAAGACGCGGATAGGGTTGATTCGGTGCCAGAGGAGTTTGGCTTGTCGAGGGACGGATTGGCCGGCGAAGTCAGTGTTGGACTTGGAGGGAATGGTCTCGGGGAAGAAGAGGATGATGACGGCGGCGGCGAGGCCGTTCATTGCCGTGAGAAGCCAGAAGATGGCGGTCCAGGGTCGAAAGGTAATCACAGCACCCTGAAGTTGACATATGTGTTAGTGGTGATGATGCTGGAGAGCTAGAAGATGGGATGTTTAACTTACGCCGAGGAAGGGGCCTACGGCAGGGCCTACCAAACTGCCAGACGTGACCCATCCTAGAGCCGTTGCTCGGGATTTAGGCTCGTAGATATCGCCCACTGCAGAGCTGCCGACGACCAGAAATGATGTTCCTTGGAAGGCAGTAAGGACACGAAGGATGAAATAAGAGGTTAGGTTGGGAGAGAGCGTGGTGCCAATAGTGAAAAGGAAAAAAAGAACGCTGCTGGCAATAAGAATCTAAGGCACGTCATTAGAGAAGGATCGAGTATGCGGAATGTTCTTCAGGAACTTACTGGACGACGACCGCAGACCTGACTTAAGGGTCCCCAGAACAAAGCCGAGAGGCCCATGAAAGCTAAATAAAGAGCCGTACTGGCATTTATGATCTCTTCGGTGGTCTGGTATGTCTTGGCTATCTCCGGCACGGCAGACAGCATGGCCGTGGAGGAGATGGGAGCGAGGAAAGCACAATACGACAGGATACAAAGAATGAGGACTTTGCGCGCGGGTGAGAACTGTTCATACTGCTTGGCCTCGGACTCCTCGTAGTGGTCGTCTGCTACGTCGAATCCACGACGCGAGGAATGACTTTGGACTGGAACCAGTGTGTTTGGTGTACCAGGGGGTGAGCCAAAGTCTGATTTTGACTCCTGACCATACTCTGAAGCAACATGTGTTGCTGAGGAATTGACAGATGACCCGCCTGACATGGGGTACACCTTAGAAGGAGCCTTCAACAACATGGTTCACGTCAATTGAGAGGACGGTGTCATAAAGTTCTAGATTGAAAAAGAATGGTCTGCTTTCGGGCTCTAAGAGAAAGGAACTATTTCGACCGATGCTCATGCGACAGGGCCAACAGTTTTTTAAGAAAATGAATGGACGAAAAAAAAAAAGACCCGAAAGAAAAGCTTGCGCAATGGGTCAAGTTCGGAAGAAAAGAACGGATAGAAGTGAAAGCTAACAAGAGCACATGCGGGAAAAGAGAGTGACGAAGAGGACGCAAAGAAATCCGGTTTGGGTAAGACGACGCAATATTATAAAGATACTTTGCACGCACATCCATCTTAAATGAGCAGGGCCCCAAGAAAGGAGAGCTGACCCTGGTGGCCAGCATTGCGCGTTGCGCAGAATAGCCCCCCCAGTTTTTCCACGCCTATCATCACATCATCTGTCCGCGGAGACCAGTAGGTTGCCGTGGTTGGTGCCGCCCAAAGCTCTCAAGGCTTAAATTGGAAACATCGTAAGAGCATTTTTTGCGCGCACATGGTCTAGATCTTCGTAAGCAGAAGTTAGAGGGGTGTAGAGCCAATGAGATTCTCGAACGGTGGACACACCCTTGGCAACTATAAGCTCGGGGGAGGAACCGGGTCCTATAGCTTGGTTGAGGTGTGGGAACATGATCGACAAGGCCGAGCATATGGGCCCCTGACGACTAACGGCGGGTTCTACTAAACCTTGAGAGAACGCATCATCCGATGGTGTAATGGCTGTCTTTTCCTCACATTCCGAGGCGTGGCGCGCGGTGACAAGCTCCTTTTCCATCCGGTAGCTCCCGTTGCCCAACCAGCTCTTGGCTCAGGGACGACCCGCAGCCAGGTGCAAGCTCCAGGCCAGGAGGATCTTCACGGAGACCTGCACATGATGCCCAGACTGGGTCTGGTTTCACATTCTGTGAGAATCATCGATCCTAGCCTTTTCTTTGAGAGGAAATATTTGTACGCCTAGAGGACCCATTGATCATCGTTGCCCTGATCGATCCCATGTGTTCGCGCCAAAGCACTGTTGGAAGTGCATTCCCCTTATGTAAAGGCCATGAGCGAAGGACCCTTTTCTTCGAGCCGGTGCCTTGTAGTGTTATGCCTGACAGTGATCGGTCATTCTGAAATGATCTCCTGAGCAGCAGCCCCGTGTAATTTCGCGAGGAAAAGTGGTTCAGTCCGTTATTCCACGTTCTGGCTGCAGAGACACATTTCCTTCCGTCACTCATCGAATGTTCAGCCAAAATTCCTCCCTGGCGTTCTATTTTTGATCATTCTTGGCGTCATCATCTTGCCGTCGATGATGAAGAAGTTATGCAATGATGGAGCCGGCGATGAAATTGACTGGCGGAGGGCGTGCGACAAAGTTGAGAGATCCGACCGGAGAACAAGCCTGGAAAGGGGTGGAATGTTGTTGGGAACGATGAAGGACCAAAATTTGGGAGCCGAGAGAGTTCCGAAGGTGAAGGTGAAGGGCAGAGGGCAGACAGAAAGGAAGCGAAGATAATCCGAGGACCGAGTCATCTGATAAGGTACTTGCAATTAAGCTGGCGTCGAGGTACCCTTGTACCAGTAACTTCGCTCACGGCATTTCCTGGGCAGATGGCCTAAGTCAAGGGTACAAGTGCCAAGAGGCGGGGACCATGACGTCGGCGGTGACGAGAGCCGCCTGGCACTTACGCACTTTCTGCCTGAGGTCCCGCCGTTCTCGTCTCTCTCTCCCTTTCTTCCTTCTCTCCCTCTCCATGACATCTTCCCCCCTCCCCTCGCTTCTCCTTCACTCCTCACCCTTTCTTCTCTGACAACCACCCCTTTCCTCGGTTTCCCATTATTGGGTCTTCCTCTGTTCATACCCACCCTTATAACATTCCATCTTTAATCGAGAATTTTCTAAAAGTACACCTGTAATCTTATCCCCGGGGAAAATGAGTTCCAGCAAGGATCCACAATCTCAAATCCCCGCCAACAGCAAAGGCTCTTGGTCGAGTTTCCTCAAGGTAAGCCCGCACTACTCAATTGGCGTCCGTTAGTTTAGTCAGAAATCTGGTCTGACATCAAATGGTTCTTCCTTAGTCTATTGCATCTTTCAACGGCGACCTGTCCTCCTTGACCGCTCCACCCTTCATCCTCTCCTCTACCTCCCTGGTCGAATATTCCGCCTACTGGGCTGAACATCCGAGTCTGTTCGTGGCCCCGGCCCAGGAAACGGACCCGGAGAAGAGAGCTCTGGCTGTTTTGAAATGGTTCCTCAGCACCCTGCACCAACAGTACTGCAGCCGCAGTGAAAAGCTCGGCAGCGAGAAGAAGCCCCTGAACCCTTTCCTGGGTGAGCTCTTCATCGGAAAGTGGAACGGCGACGAGAACGTCGGCGATACCTCGTTGATTAGTGAGCAAGTCAGGTAGGTTGTTGATTCACGTGCTCGCCGGGGGAGATCATGACAAGCTGACCGGAATGCCAGCCACCACCCTCCCGCCACCGCCTATGCGATTACGAACGATAAGCATGGTGTCGAGGTGAGTGCCGAATTACCATCCAATGATCAGGCAATCGTACGTCGAATTCTAACTCTATTGTAGCTGCAAGGATACAACGCCCAGAAGGCGTCGTTCTCTAGCACCATCCAAATCAAGCAGATCGGCCACGCACTCCTGACTATCACTCCGCCCGGCGCGGACAAGAACGACCCTGCCCAGCAAGAACAGTATCTCATCACCCTCCCGCATCTGCACATTGAATCCCTGATCTACGGCACGCCCTTTGTCGAACTGGAGAAGACGACGAAGATTGTCAGCAGCACAGGCTACGTGGCCAAGATCGACTATTCCGGCAAGGGCTGGCTGAGCGGGAAGAAGAACACGTTCACCGCGAGCTTGTTCAAGGAAAGTGAGGGCGAGAAGAAGCCCCTTTACACTGCCGAAGGCCAATGGTCGGAGAAATTCACCATTCGCAATGCCCGCACCAAGGAGGAGGTCGACAAGCATGTGGTGAAGGAAGCCCAGACCACTCCCCTACAGCTGGCCCCTCTTGAGCAACAGGACCTCTTCGAAAGTCGACGCGCCTGGAGCGATGTGGCCTCGTCGATTGAGCGCGGTGACATGGACTCCGTGTCCGCACACAAGGGCCGCATCGAAAATGCTCAGCGAGAGCTGCGCAAGATTGAGAAGTCTGAGGGTCGGGAATGGCCTCGACGATTCTTCAAGCGCCTCGAAGAGGGTGAGGATGATGACCGGTTCAAGAGCCTCGCCCAGACTATCGGCCTGACAACCCTGGAAGCCGACAAGACCGGTGGAGTCTGGCGCTTCGACCGCGAGCGCGCCACCGGTGCCCAGCCGCCTTACCACCCCGTCGGCCCCGAAGGTCTCGGCCTTAGCAGCAACTAAATAGAATACATATGGGTATCTCCCTAATACACAGTGGAGAAAGGGAGGTTTTATATAGGTTTCATTAATCCACAGGGTGACTTGTCATTGGGTAGAGCGTCCGCAGTCCAACTAGCTGCGGCTATAGAGGGAAAGTCTCGTGATCAGGAATGGGACGGGATGGGTGATTTAGGATCTTGTTTTTTTCTCGTCGCAAATCTTGCTTCCTGTATATAGAATCTTTCAAAATAGTGTCTCCGAATTGGATATTTCTAGTGTTCCAGTGTCCACCAGCCGATCATCTCCTGCCGTCTTTGACTAGTTCGTAGAGCGGGACCATGATCGACTTCCGGACGACTTTTCTGAACCATCCAGCATGTCGCACCCTCGATGGTCAGGGGATGTGAAAATGGTGATTACGAACGCGTCAGTAGTTCGGGTCCACCTTTGTTCTAGTTGTTTTCTATTTTATAGTTCTTGGGTGTCCTTCGATCTTGAAAAGCTTGAGTCGAGACTCGTGAGTTCAGACAGGCATGTGACATTGTCGTCTGGACTATTGCATCCTAGTTCAATAACTTGTAGCTATGAGGTGCTTTGATCTTCTGTTGCCCTTCTTCTTTGCTAGTACTTTTGTTCGTATTAATTATTTAAGAGGCACTCCATAATCTCTTTTCTTCTGTCCTCATTCTACAAGGAACAGCATTTCACTTTCTCTATTTGTTTTCAAATCATTGTACAAGTGTACATTCCTTCAGCTCGCTTTTGATTTGCATCACTGCATATAAATCATCTATAATCAAACAGCCAGCTAGCTCCAGTTATTGAAACATTCATCCCAGGAGATAAGGATCATCAAGGGCCATAATAACCATCGCTACTTCTTTTTGAGAGAACGGTGCTCAAACAGGGTGCCCAATATCCACATCCATCCAGCCCTGTCTATCTAATGAGCGAACCGGAAGTCCAAGCGCTTGTTCCCCTGATCCTTCGTCGTTCGGAGGTAGGTGTCTTTCTGCTCCAGGCTCATGGCGTTCCAGGTACGTTCACGGGCCTGGTTGCGCCGGATGTAGTAGACTTTGATGAAGACGGTCATGACCACGTTCCAGGCCACGATGGCCAGGAGGACCTTGTTACCTCGTCGATAGTAGGGGGAGTCGTCGGCACGGTAGATCTAGGTGTCGATCGAGGGTTGATTAGAAAAGAGAAACATGTGAAAGTGAAACCGCTTGCATAGGAGCAGATTATGTGAGAAATGGGGGTGCGGATAGCTTACATTAGAGGAAATAATCGAGCTTGCTTGGCAGATCATATTGTATAGTGCGCTACCCACTGTCCTCGTTCGCACGGTGCCGGCGTTTCGAGAAGTAAGGCTAACTATTGTAGGGTAGTGTGGTTAGACGGTTCTGTGTGTATACGTAGGTCTAGACTTAGGGTGGAGATATAAGGATCGTCGTACCATTAATGGAATGGATGTATGGGAATCCAATCAGCATGATTGTCACAGTGTACCAGCTCCACGGACTAGCGGTTGACGGCAACAGCTCCAAGGCAAGCAGGAGTGGAAGACACCAGACTGAGTAGAACATGACAATCGCCATTCGGTTGTTGATCTTCTCCGAGAGCCAGGACCAGAAAACCAACTGGATCAGAAACAAGACATATGCAGGGATAGTCAGAAGGTTCGTCTCGAATGTGTCGAACCCAAGCGCCTTCAAATTTAGTGTGAGATATGCCGAGACAGGGTTGGTGGGAATAAGCATCGTAAAGCTGATTGCGTATAACGGCCACAGGTCATAGTCCATGAGTGAAGCCCAGAGCAGCTTCAGAGTCAGACCTTGACGGTTGTGCATACCACCCTGAGTGTCCACGTCAGCATTGTCCGTTAGCTTTTGTTCAGATAACCGCGCATTCACCTTGCCTGGGTCGTCTCGTAACACTCGGTTGACCATGATAACCTCCTCCCTCTCCGAGAACCAACCATCCCGCCCACGAAACCAGCTTGCGGTTTGCGTCGGACTTGGAGGCAAGTAGAACCAGGAAAGTATGCCAATGATGGCCGTCAAAGCGCCCTCCAGGGCAAACAACCACCGCCAGCCTTCCCAGCCTCCAATAACTCTCATGTGCAGAATTCCATAGGCCAGGAAAGCGGCAATGATAAAGGTAAAGTGCGAAGCGCAGTAAAAATAGCCCACCCGGATCGGGAGCTCTTTATTAGTGTAGAAGTATGAGAGGTATAAAAGAGCATCTGGAATGAACCCACCCTCTACTAGGCCAAGAAGAGCACGGGTGGCATAGAAGCTTTTCTCGCCAACTATCAAAGCTTGACAGATGCCAATAACGCTCCAAGTGACCATTTGAATCGGGATCCAAACATCGGGGCCTAGCTTCTTTGAGATCATCTGCGACGGCACTTCGGCGCATAAGAAGCAGAGATAGAAGATCATCATGCCATAATTGTATTGGTTTGTTGATAGCCCAAGATCGTTCAACAACCCGTCACTAAGGGCCTGGGATATATTTCCGCGATCGAGTTGTAGGGCGAAAAACATTAGACAAACCCAGGAACAGATCCGATAATCGAGCTGAATACAGTAGAGTAGACGTCAGCGACATCATAACACATTTGATAGACGGTTGTTGACATACCTTTCGCACCAGCTTTTTCTCCTCTTTCTCCGACCAATCAGCCGTCGGATCATATCGATGTCTGCCCTCGTACTCTGGAATTGGTTCGTACAGCTCGGTGGCCCCGCCATCAGCGAACGCGTTGCCATTTCCTTGGTACCTTTTAGTTGCTCCTTCTTCCACAATCAACTCCTGGGGCGCAAATTTCGTATCTTCCCATTTCTTAGGTTCTGAGTTGCCCGACATCTTCGATAGACGCTAAGCCCGGTGATAGGACATTCTGACAGCGATGATCGAAACCATTTCGCCATCTTATGTACTTCCTAACGTGCAATACGTGCACAGGGTCGAGTATGGTGCAATATCAATCTTGGACTCTGAAGTATGTCTCTTGAGTGAAAACTTGATGATACTCAGTGGCGCGCGTTGGGCTAAAATTGTGCCATATGGATGTTCTGCATATCTCCGCGGAGCGAGGGAGGGAAAACTGGGGAAAGCCCAGAATCAACAACACAGCTTCCACTGTGTGCGTCTTCACCGTGACAAGCCAAGAAGTTTAGTCGTGCTGTTGGTGCTTTTGTCATTGCAATAATCCTTATACCAAAGTCTTTGTCGAGGCAGAAGGGCTATGCTGCCATGGGCTATAATAAGACCGTGCCTCTAGAAAGCACAAGCGGAGAAGGTAAAGCGTCGTCGCCTTGTTGATTCACGAAGAGATGGTCTTTCCAGAAAAATTTCCAGGGTCTTGCACGCCATGTGTAGCACGACGTCAGACAAGAACAATAGGTGGATTTTCTTACTCCGTATGAAAAGATATTCATCTTAGAAGATGGCACCATTGGCATGCTTCCGAGCTTTTCGCTCAGGGTTTCCAAGGGAGTGATTTGAGGGGAACAACATTAGCTTCTATGCACGATTCAAGTCCCGTTATGAGTCAAATAGGCCAGAATGTTGTACCATATCGTGCCAATGACCGCGCTCGATCGTGATTGAACCGCAAGTTTCCCGCGGCATAATGCCGAGATTTGCTCCGCTTCACGGCTGCTAACCGAGCTAACTAAGGATCTTGGCGACGCTATTAGCACTCTTTAACAAGTGAGCTCGCTTATTTCTAGGTCCAAGTAGCCTGTAGCAGCTAATACTAAGGAAACGAGACTGGTCAGCGAGTGGTCTTTGAGCGAAGGGGCGAAGATCAATACAACTTTGGGGAAGAGAGACCGGCCGAGGGAATTTATTATCGAGAATAGATAAAAAAGCCAAGTCCAGTTGACATTGACATGTTTCTAGGTGGTTCACTGGCAGAGGAGACGGGCGAGTCGGTTGCAAGAAAGATTACTTACTGGTAGTCCAACGAACGATAGCGCGTGGTCAGGCTGTAATCCCAGTTGGTCGCTTCGTAGAGAGTATGGAAACCTAGATGATCAGCATTTAGAAAATGCTCTAGATTCACGAGAAGACTTTGGGGGTCATAGGTGGTAAATAGAACGATGATTTACTCGGATGAAAAACATGCTCGGAAGGAGGAGACAGAGTACTCTGCTGGCACTGGGTCGAATCCGGAGTATGTGGAGAAGGTCCGGTTCGGGTGGACCCACCCGGTATAAATATATAAAGCTATACTTCTCGGGAACAACACGATGTCCCCGAGATCCATGTCGGCTTGCTAGCCCCCCTCCCCCCAACGCGTCGATTCGAACAGAAAGAACTTAAAGTCATGCCTTGAAGCGCCTCAGGCATCCTCTGCGCTCTGCGGGCGGCAACTCGTGGCAGAGCCCCAGCCACCTTCCTAATTGGGAACGCACTGGTAGCCATATGGGCCATCGTTAGGAAGGTCCAACAACGAACCCGGGGCGACTTTGGCGCAGTGGTTAACCGCTGCAGAGGTTACCACTGTAGCGAGGACAGAGAGAACCCGGGTTCGAGCCTGGACCACCTCGCTGTCCGGGATGTCTGAAAACATGCCTGCTTCCCATGGGGATGGGATGAAGTGGCGGTTTCGTAGCCTGGTGGATTGGTCCAGACCCATCAAGGATCAGTCCGTAGGTGAGCTTTTTTTTGTATCTACACAGTCGAATTGAGGATCTATCCACTTGATCCACTTTCTGCATAGTCCAGCTATCCGCGTCCTCTTCTCGCAGTCACCTTCTATCGGTACCTACCTAGTAGAACCTCTCCAGCCCTTATTACCCTACAAGCTGAAACAGTTACGAGACAGTCCAGCCATATGAGAAAATCATGCATTGCACTAAGACTTAATATACCTAAATTAACTTCTGTCTCAGCAGAACCCCAACCACCTTCCTAATTGGGACGACACTCGTAACATTTAGGCCGTCGTTAGGAAAGACCAGTACCGATCCCGAGGTGACTTTGGCGCAACGGTTAATCGCACCGCTGCAGCGAGGTCCTTCAAAATACCGGGTTCGAGACCGGACCACCTCGCTGACCCGATTTCTCTGAAAACCTACCCCCGGGGAGATGAGATGAACGACGTCGCACCCTGATGGATCTGGTCCCCTGAGACCGGGAATCGCAGGAGGGCCTTTTTTTTGCACTTCTCATTATTCTCTTGGTCTTCCTTCCCACACGCTCCTTTTGTCTCACAAGGAGCACCTGAAGATTTAATGTCCCATCCAAACGACACACTATTCATTCATCATGGCTCTGTCTATACTTTATTTAGGATCTCATCTACACAGAATATACTATCAAGTTGAGTACCTATCCACATTGTGGAGCTAGCCATCATCCTTTTCCTCCCCGCGCGGTCGCCTTGTCCAGTACCTAGTAAAACTTCTCTAGCTCTCATTACCCTACGAATTGAAATACGACACAGTCCAGCTATACGATAAAGTCACCCATGGATGCATTGCACTCAGGTACCTAAGATGACTAAAGGAACTTCCGTCTCATTGGGAGGCCTCCCGATCTTGACGTGACCTAACTTCTTCCCTTTGTTTCCCTGGCGTTGTGTTCTTCGCTCTCTGTCTATCATTTACTCTTTGTTTCTCCAAGGTATAGACAATGAAGCGAAGCTTTTGTTGGCTCATCAGCTAAACAGCTGGGTCGCCTCACTGCTTTTTAAAGCTTGCCTACCTTAATGCTCCTTCCCGATAATGGTACGGCTAATAGTTACTAGCCGTAGACGCCGTGATCTCCTGTTACCTTAATTACCCTATCCGGAAGAAGGGGGACGGAAGGAACAAGAGACTTGGAGCATCTCACCGTCGAAACAATCAATTTGAAGAGGATCCCCTTATAATAACCTAAAAACATCACCCGTCAGCCCTATCTACAGAAAGCAACCCTGTTACTGCATTTTGCATACCCAATCAAGGCACCCGAACAACCCTAACGCCAACTCCACTCCCCGCGCAAATGCAGAGATTCAAGACGCAACAACAACGATCGGTCCAAGAGCACACCCAGCCCTCTCTATAAGACAAGAGGATTAAACAGGAGTCGACACAGGAACAGGTCGGATCGAAAAGACCACTGATGACGCTAACCGGATCAGATCTAGCGAGGCTCATTGGTCTCGTGCTCCACCTCCACTGGACCAGATCCGATCCGATCAAATGAGATCCGATCAGATAACAACTGGCAGGGTTGCGAAACGTACTGTACGGATTGACCCAGGTAAGGTAGGTACTTACTTCTAATGTATTGTACTCGGGACTACAAGCGAGACGGGTCGATGAACAAAAACGCCACCCAAGTAGGGTCGTTGCATTCTTTATGCCCTTCTTCCTCCGATCCTAATCCAGTCAAATTGCATAGATGAAATCCCAATTGACCCCAGATATGTAGTACAGGCAGCGGAAAATATGCGACGTAAAGAGCAAGGAGATGGTTTTTGTAGAACATTAATCAAGGAAATCATGAGTGGAAAACAAGACTCGTTGGTCGATGTCATAAACCCGTATAAAGTAATAAAGCAACAACAGAAAAGAAAAAGGAGTAACATTTTTTTCAGTTCCATACAACAAGGGAAACGCAAACCGGCGGAGAAAAGAAAATGCCCAACGGAAACCCAGCCAAGCTCCCCTTGAGAGTAGAGATTACACATTTCAAAGCGTCAAGGTAGAAATAGAAAACAGAAAGGAAAAGAGCAAATATAGAACGGTTTTTGATCCAGGCTCACCGGCCCTGAGCAAGAGAAGTCCGCAATCCATCGCCCATAAAACACACACACAAAAAAAAAAAAAAAAAAAAAAAAAAAAGAGGAAAGAAAAGGTAATTAGAGCAGCTTGAGATGGAGAGATGATGTGTCATGATCATTTAGTGACCGTAGTTGCCGCCCCAGCCTCCACGACCAGTGTTGCCGTAGTAGTTGGTGAATCCTGCACCGCCGTAGTTACCGTAGCCGGTCGCCTGATGGTGGCTCTGGGTAGCGGCTGCTTGGTGGCCACCAAGTCCACCCAAGCCTCCATACTGGGGGTTCAGGTGGGGATAAGCACCAAATCCCTGCTGGCCCTGCTGGCCCTGCAAAGGAGGAAGTCCGGTTTGAGCTTGAGACTGGCCGGGAACGCTGTTGGTCGCAGATCCGGGACGGTTGGCCTGTGCCAACGAAGGGCTGGGACCGCCGGCCTTGGGTGTGTCGAAAGCCTTCGTTTCCTCCGAGGTCACCGGGGGTTGCTGGGAGATGGGCTGGCTCTGGCCAAAGCCCGCCTGGGAACGTCCAAAAACATCAGACATGCCCGTGCCGAACGCATTGGCCCCGGCCGCAGTCTGCTGGCTCTCCGAGGGCTGGGCGGAGCCGGTACGTCCGTAAACGGATTCCCGGCCTGGCATAGCTTGGTTGAAGGTGCCGGCCGCCGCAGGCGACGAAGAGTGGTCATAGGAAAAGCCGTGGGGCTGTCCGTACATTCCAGTCTTGCCGTACGGTCCGTACTGATTGCCGTAGGCATATTGGGCGGCGCTGTGGGGCATGTAGTGATCATCATAGCGGCGAGCGTCATCATACATCGGACGGTTTCGGCTGTATTGGTTCATCTGGCTCATGTACGTCGCATAGTGGGGGTTGGAGAAGTAGGGGTACTGGTATTGGTAGGCGGCATGACCAGGCATGTGCGCCGCAGTCGGGGTTTGAGCAGTCGCGGGAAGAGTGGGATTAGGCGTGTTGTGACCACTGTTGGGGGCATCGACGTGACCGTAACGGCTGGGGGGCTGGGTGGTGGGAATGTGCGGCTGTACTTCGGCACCGGAAACACCGAATCCAGCACCCGCTCTCTGGGCAGCGGTGGCATCCTGAGACTGGCCGTAGGTGCCGTAATAGTTGTAGGGGAGCCGCTGGTCGACAGCGTAGAAAGGCGAGTACTCGCTGCTGCTGGTGACGGCGGGTTGAACGGGAGCCTGGTTAGCGAATGGCTCCTGGATTTGAGGCTGAGGCTGCGAAACCTGCTGGCTGAATGGGTCGTAGGGCTTCTGGGCGTCAGTGTAGCGAGAGAAGTCGGTGAAGGAAGATTCGCCGGCGGAGACCTGAGGAACAGGAGGAAGTCCAGGGGCTGGGCGCGAGACAGCGGGGCTGCCGGTCGAAGCATGCGGCTGGGTAGAAGGAGGCAAGGAGGCACGGGGGGCTACCGGGGAGTGTTGAGGGGGCTGAGCCCGGGTCTCAGCGTCCTCGCGGTTCTCGTCGATGTCGACGTCGGCAGAGTCGCCGTTCAGACCCATGCTGCCGAACTGCACGGCGGCCCGGTCAACAGCGTGGTTTCCAGGCATAACCACTGCTTCCTGCTGTTCCATAACGCGACGCTGGGCGCCCGGGCCCCGAACGCTGTGTCTCAATGAGCTGCCAGGGTAGGCACCAGGGGCGCCACGGCCAGGAGTTCCGGTAGAGCCGACATTGTGGACATCAAAGGCGCTACCAACAGTGCTGGCTGCAGTGGCGGTAGGAGCAGGGAGAGAAACATCGGGAATCTGCGCGAGGTTCGTCCTGGTCAAATCATCCTTGGGAGGAGTGACCTCGGTCGAAGGAGGGGCTGCAGCTGGCGCCTCAGGCTGTTTGGGAATGACCGGTTCGGGTGCCTTTTCGACGGGGACGGGAACTGGTGCAGGGACCGGGGCAGGAATAGGTGCAGGTTCGGGAGCTTTTTGCTCTGCTACTGGTTCAGCAGCGGCAGGTTTTTCGGGAGCGGATGTAGGGGCAGGTTCGGGAGCAGGAGCGGCCGGAGCAGCAGGAGCAGGAGCGGAAGCGGGGGCGGGAGCTGGAGCAGCAGGTTTCTTCTGGGTGGGAGGAGTAGCAGCAGTGGTAGCGGTAGGAGGAGCGGGTTTGGCAAATAAACTGGCCCAGCCTTTCTTGGTGCCTTCGGGGATGACGCTGCTCTTGGGCGTGTCCTTGACATCCTCCTTCGAAGTGTCGGTCGATTCAACAGTTGTAAATTCAGCGTCCGCCACCTTGTCGGTTTTCTGCGCCTCGGGAATAGTTGTCGCGGCCGACTCAGCAGTGGATGCAATAGGAGCGGCAATAGCTGGCTTCTCCAATCGGCTTCCATTGGTATGAGCACCTGCACGGCCACCCCGACCGCCCCGACCGCGATCTCCGCGAGCGCGACCACGGCCTTCGAATCCACCACGTCCACGGGCTGCTCGGACAGAAACAGGAGTTGTCTCGGTCGGGGTGCTCTGTACCTCCTTTGGCTTGGGTCGACTCCGATCTGTGGTCTTCTTCTTTACCTCACCCCACTGGGAGACGTTGCCTGATGAGACCGGAAGACACAATGTTAGCCAGGCCGTAATAATGACGGAAGTGAATAAGCTAGTGAGGAGGATGTGGTAAGGGTCGCACCTTCGGTTATGCGATCAATTGCAGCCTCGAGGTCACCATCAGCATCCTCCAAGGCGAAGACTAGGTCCTCGTTCGTCCAGTCGGGGAACAGCTCATTCAGCATAGGCAGAGTGTCGGAATATTTCTTCTTCATCTGACCGATTTCGCCCTCATCTTCGAATGCGGACAGCGTATCCTCTGAGCTGTCTGCCTTTGCAGATCTGCTGCTGCCACCTCGACCACCTCTGGAGCTATAGCCGCCTCGACCACCGCGAGTAGACACCCTGCCACGAGAAGCAGCGGGTCGTGATTGAACGTCAGACATATCGTTCTAATGGGAATTTGTGTGGATTCTCCCAGGACAGCAGAGGAGAGAAAGAGGGGAGGAAGGGAAAAAGGGAAAGGAAAGGAGGAAAGAGGACGACGGGAGAAAACAAGGTGTGGCTAGTGGAAAAGAAAAAGCGGGTAAAACGAGGTTTAGTTGGTTCAAGAGGTAGAAAGATTTGGTGTGAATTTCAAGAAGAAGGGAAGGGAGAGGTGGAAAGGTTTGGTTGGTTTGGTTTAGGTTTAGGTCAGCTTTTTGGCGCCTGAGGCTGCAGGCTGCTTCGGGGCGGTACCGTCACTTACGGAGTATGTATGTTGGATGTATGTATGTACCTGCCACTTCGTAGGAGTACATACACTAGGTCGAGGTGAGGTGAGATTGATTCTATGACTGTCATCAATTCCTCATGTGAGATATCAACTCTCAATCAACCCAATAATTATGAATTCCTCCCCATCCACCGATCATCGTCGTGTTCACCCGCCACCTATTAGGTACTGTGTATGCAAAAATACCCACACCCCCGTCCGTAACGAACCCGTTCAGCGTTGCCTCACGCTGGAGGCGGAGTACCCGTAGCTAAAGGGCACCCTGAATATTCAGGCAGGTCTTTTAGCGAGTAACGCTAAAGTCCGAGAGAGTTGGCCCATTCGTCATCCATTGACGATGATCATGGATTCAATACTTACGGAGTAGACAATAGTATATCCCTTGATATACTCCCCCTTCCTTCTCAGCTCCTTTCATACCTCAGACCATTTTCACCTCGAACAGAGAAATATTTACGCCGTAGTTTGTCAATGAGCAGTTAATTAACCACCTACAAATAGTCATCGTCGTTGACTATTCGCATTAACTACTCCTCCGTGTAGATAACTAGTTACGTAGTTAACCAAGTCTGGGGAAGTGACTAAGCCCGATTTCTCACCGCCTTCCCGTCCTCAGGCCGAAGTCGAAGTTTGCCGGGTCAGTCAACCCGTCAAAAATCACCCCATGATTATCTTCCGCGGTGACTAACCACCCTTTTGACATCCCTTCTCGTCTTCCCCTCCTAATTGATCGGTACTCAACCCTGTCAGCACCATGAAGGGCACGTCGGTCTTGCGCTTTGCGTCTTGGCCGAAAATCCACCAGCCATTACCCCGTACCCCTCGCCAATCTCAGCAGCTGCTCAACGCCCTTACATCCTCCTTTCGTCGTCAGTTGGACCAGGAACACCCATCTTCCATTTCACCGTCAGAGCAGCCTCACAATGGTGATAGCCCGCCGGAAAACCCGAACTCGTCCATACTTGCGACCGACAAGCATGTGCAGAGAATTCTGAGAAACCCCCTCTTCCGCAAGACACCTAACAACTCTCCTGTTCAGCTCGACGAACACAAGTTGCGCACGGAACCAATGGCGCTCTTTGATGATCTAGTCGCATCTGGCTCGGTTACCACCTCGACTCTTCGGCGTTGTCTGCAATCGCAGCTATGGCTTGCAAGCCGTCATACGGGAGATGGTTACCTCAAAGCCATGAGAGAGTCGCGGGCCGGGTCGAGGTTCGTGGACTGGTGGTTTGCGTCCGGCACCCGTGCGTTACGAATTCTCTTCAAGTCCCAAGCATCGACTCGGACTCTAGTGAAGTTCATGATGGCCGAGGGACTACGACCTACCGCCATGGGTTGGCTGGACCTACTGGCGAAAAAAGACCTCGGAGAACGCGAACGGCTTCCGAGGGACGCTGCTATTGAGCTTTACCGTGTATTTCTACTTGAAATGGTTATGTGGGAGCTTTTTGATGGTGGGGGCGGTTGTGGAGGCGTGCTCGCTGCCTTACAATGTTTTGTACAGTCTGCCGGGAGCTTGCTTGCAATTGCCAAAAAAGACCGGGAATTTCACTCCGCCGCGCTTCTTGATGCGGCTGTCAAACTGCACATGGCTTTAAAGACAGTGTCCCCTGAAATCCCCGTTGCTTCATTCGAAGATCTTGTCAAGATTCAAGAACAAGTGTGGCCCGTGGCGCGCAGGACTGCCGTGCTGCATCTCTACCACCCTACACAAGCAAACCCTACCCCATTTCTCCAATACGCGGGGCGACAGTCTCCTGATCATGTTGAATCATGGACCCGAAGGGATCAAGCGTCCTTTATGCGGGGTGGATTCAAGGCACTTCAGGTTATGCTGGACCAGGGCCGGTCTGAGGATGCCTCTGATCTGGCACAGATTATGCAACGGTCGTTGCCTGCTCTAAAAGACCAAAAAGCGGTGCAGAATGGATTCGGGTGGCATGTGGAGGAGAACTTTCTCGCCCGCGTGAACCTTGCGACCACGTGACCTTGAGCAAGGCGTACACCATAGATGCCTTCGTTTTCTCCCGACCATCGCCTCCCAGACTCAGACTCCCAGACCGTCAACGTCATGGATCTTCCCCGACCGGAGAATGGGACTGATTCGTCAGTGCGATCCGCGAATGGCGGACCGGCCATTGTCTCATACGATCACGCCAACCCACGCTACTCCGCATCCTGCTCCACCCAGCCAGCCACACAAATGGGGCGATTCTCCTCTCCTTGGCATGCTTACTACTCCGTTACTCTAGTACACACTCATCCCCCCTTCCCATGAGCCCCGTCTAGCGCAGCTTATGTACTCCGCTACTGACTGTACCTCGCGAGCTGAGCTTCGGAGCATTAGTTTCTGAAGCTTCTGGTCGCTAATTTGCCCTCCGCCCCGAAATGATTTCCAGACTGAGTTCCGCATAAATCGGGTTTAGCGCCCTACGACGTCCTTAGTAAACGTCACCGCGCAACCTCACCTCTCCTTCTGCTCTGACCTACTCTCATCAACTGAACACTCTTCCTCTGGATTTTAGTATTAGTAGGCATCAATTCTAGCCAATTCGCGGTCGCTACCTATCAGCGACGCTTCTTCACTTAAAATTATTCCAACCTAAGCACCCAAAATCGTTTGGGACTACTCCTACCTTGCCACCATGTCTACGGAGCCTACCGTCAACACCAGCACAACTGCAGTTCTGGGTACGTTCAGCCATCCTGCGCCTTTTTCCCATGCGCCCTGTCTAAGAGATCCCGGGCGATTCATCAACCGATACTAACGTTCCGCATCTTAGAACCTCCCAACACCACTGGCGCTGACGTCACCAAGACGGTCCCGGACGATGCACCAAAACAGACCAATGGTAACAACCATTCGGCCAAATCAGACGGGGCTGGCCATGCGCCTGTAGAAAGCAACTCTAAAGATGCAGTTGGACTGGCGGATACAGCCAAACCGGCGGAGGAGCCACTATCCGGCGGTCCGGCTCTCGCTCCGGGCGTCGATTCTCAGAAGCCTGCTGGGGAGGCCAAGCTCGACGCGCCCAGCACAGGCGACAAACGGGAACTTGAGTCGACCTCTGTCCCCACGGATACAGATAAACCTGCCACTGAGTCCGACTCGCCCACCGTCGCGCCAACCGCCAAAAAACAAAAGACTGACGAGAAGGCTACTACCGCAAATGGCACGCAAGCAAATGGAGAGAACAAGAAGGCAGGTCGCTCGAAGAAGGTGAAAGAAGCTGTGAAGAAGGTGATACCTACGGATGGTATTGGTAGTCGGACTCGCAGCCGGACCAAGGCCGTGTCTTGAGGTGGTGGCATTGTCAACGGATACTCATATATGCATCGATGAGCTGGACGACATTTCCGTTGTTTCTTCTATGGGTGCCATGCAGTATGGTCGCAATAGGAGGTAGGCTCAACGCATGTCAGCGTATTGTTTTGTTCGTGGAGCCGTAGTTCGGACATGTCATCTCTTCAGATAGTGGTTTACGAATAATCAAGGACTATGAGCCATCGTGTTCTGTTACTGCTCGTGATGAGGAGACCCAATTATTTCGCTGCGTACGGTAGTCGTAATCAATATGCAATTGCGTTAATTTGCCGATATCGGCCGGGATCTGGCTGAGTCATGGCTCCGGAACGGAACAACTCCGAATTCCCCCCACTATTACCAGAAGGGCAAGTCTGTGTCATAGAGGGGAACCGACCTAAAGTATTAATCGCTGGGTGATTATCGTCGGTCTTCGAAATTTCTCTTTTGACCCTACTCCGTTAGAATCACCAATTGTCTCTCACTCGCGGAAATCATGTCTTCTCATATCTGGCTTCGCGCAGAAACAAAGCCCGCCGAGGCGCGGTCTGCTCGTGAGTATTTCCTTCGTCAATGCCATTGCTAACCCAGCCAATGGTTGTCATTCCATTCCATTCCATCCCATTTCTACGTTCACAGTTGGATCTATAGCAAGATCATGAAGAGCTCAGAAAAAGTTAATTGGATGTCCAGTGACCCCGACTACTACTAAGGCGCTCCTTGATGCTGGTTACAAGGTGACAGTCGAACGCTCTACCCAGCGTATCTTTGACGGTATGTTGGAATTCGAACCCCCCTCCGGTCCTTTATGTCGAACAATTGCTGACCCTGGCTTCCAATAATAGATGAGGAATTCGCTAAGGTTTGCCTACCGTTTGCCCGCTTCCCAACACAATGGAATACTCATTATCCGACTGAATAGGTTGGGGCTCCCTTGGTCGAAGAAGGTTCCTGGGTGAAGGATGCTCCTAAGGATGCCTACGTTCTGGGCCTCAAGGAGCTCCCTGAAGAGGACTTCCCTCTTAAACATGTTCACATCTCGTTCGCGCATTGCTACAAACAACAGGGTGGCTGGGAGAAGGTCCTCAGCCGATGGCCCCGTGGAGGCGGTACCCTCTTGGATCTGGAGTTCCTCACGGATGATGTCGGACGCAGAGTGGCTGGTAAGCAGGCTATACTCTGAAATACTTTGAGTCTCGGTACCTAACCATGTAATTTTTTTCTCTTCCGCAGCTTTCGGCTACTCGGCTGGCTATGCAGGTATGCAATGCTTTCGAGGTCATATATCTTTGAAATTGTAACTTACACATAATAGGCTCGGCTTTGGCCGTGAAGAACTGGGCTTGGCAATTGACGCACCAAGGCGAGCCTCTGCCGGGCGAGGTCCCTTACGCCAACCAGCAGCTTTTGATTGAGTCGGTGAAGGAGTCCGTAGAGGCCGGCAAGAAGCAATCTAGCCGGTCTCCCAAGGTCCTGGTGATTGGAGCTGTGAGTACAATTTCTATTGAGATTAGAGAGGCTCATTACTAACTTCTACTAGCTTGGACGCTGCGGTAAGGGTGCCGTACAGCTCGCCAAGGATGTCGGTATTCCGGAATCCGACATCTTGCAGTGGGATATTGAAGAGACCAAGAAGGGTATGGAATCTTATGCTGTCCATTGACTTTCGTTTTCCATGCTAACATACGCTGTAGGCGGGCCCTTCAAGGAGATCGTTGAGGACGTCGACATTTTTGTCAACTGCATTTACCTTTCTGCTAAGATTCCTCCGTTCGTGAACGTGGAATCTCTTGCTTCGCCTAACCGCCGTCTGTCTGTCATCTGCGACGTTAGCGCTGACACGTAAGTCCCAATCAGCTCTTCTCCATGTGCTTGAATATGCACCGCTGACTCTTTCGCTCCTTACAGCACCAACCCTCACAACCCCATCCCCGTGTATGATATCACCACCACATTCGACAAGCCCACCGTGCCCGTCACTTTGCCGGCAGACACCCAGGGCCCTCCCCTGAGCGTCATCAGTATCGACCACCTGCCCTCGCTTCTTCCCCGCGAAAGTTCCGAGATGTTCAGCGAAGCCCTGCTTCCCAGTCTTTTGCAACTGAAGGACCGATCTAATGCCCGTGTCTGGCAGCAGGCGGAGGATCTGTTTAAGGAGAAGGTTGCCACTTTGCCATGATTGATATCCCATAGATTCTGTTGTCTCTTGGCCTGAAAATTGTGCATATAAAATTCAGTTTATTTCGACATTTGTTCCCTGATAAGCTACTAGAAGAATTCAGGAACTAGGAAGCATTTCTTGATGATATCTCCCTCCTATTTAATATCTGTATTACTTCCTCTGCCTACCATAAAATATCAACGTGGGACTTGATCGTGGAAGCCGGTGATTGAAAATGTTGACAACCACCACGGGAATAGTTTTTGGAAGTAATGCGTTTCTCAATGAATTCCCGTCCAGCCATACGCCACCACCAGATACAGTCTAATTAATAGTGATACATCCATCATTCATGATAAGCGCCGTCAGATAAGCTCTGCGCTCCATTTTCCTCGCTTCCCGTTGAAAGAAAAATTCGTCAAGTCGTATCGCATCATATCCATAGCTGAACAATCCCATCATCTGCGGAACACACCAATAACTTCTCATCGTCCATGAACTTGACTGCCTTGACCCAGCCAGAATGTCCCCTCAGAATCTTGCGTACGGAACCAGTACTCACATCCCACAGCCTAACCGTCATATCATCCGAAGCAGAGGCAAGTCGTGTCCCATCCGGAGAAAAGGTCACGGCTCTGACCCAGGACGAATGCCCAGTGATAACTCTCTGCAAGGAGGCCGTGGCCGTATTCCAAACCCGAATTGTCGTATCTTTGGAAGCCGACGCGATAAGGCTGCTGTCTGGAGAGAAAGCCACAGCCCTCGTAAACCCCGTATGGCCCTCCAGCGTTCTGCATAGGGCTCCGGTATTTGCATCCCATACTTTAACAGTCATGTCATCTGACGCCGACGCAATCACCCGATTATCTGGCGAGAAGGCAACGGCTCTGACCCAGCCTGCGTGTCCACGAAGAATTCTGTGCGCGTAACCAGAGCTGATATCCCACAGGCGAACCGTCATGTCATCCGACGCGGAAGCGATTACCTTGCTGTCAGGCGAGAAGGCGACGCTCCTGACGCAGCCCGAATGGCCCGTAAAAGATCGTTCAGCGCGTCCTGAAACCACATTCCACAGTCGAACCGTCGTATCGTCGGACCCCGAGGCAACCCGTCGGCTGTCCGATGAAACGGCCACGGCCCGGACCCATCCAGTATGACCTTGGAAGCTCCTCGCCTGATAACCGGACGCTGTGTTCCAGACCTTCACGGTGGTGTCGTTCGAGACGGATGCGATCTTATCTCCGTCAGGGAATGGAGTCGCGGCCCAAACCCAGCCGGAGTGGCCATCTAGTTTCCGTAAGGATGTCAAATGGTCGTTTGCGGGGCTGGTAGTGTGGGAGGTCTGTGTATGTGGCGGCATTGGTTTCTCTCCCTCTGTATGTGTGTGGCTCTCTCTCTATTGTCACTTCTTTTTGAAATAATATTGATGATGATGAAGCTATGGTCAAGAAAGTAAGTGGTAATGCAAGAGGAGAAAGTGGCAGCCTGGGCGTTTGGATGCACGTGCGGCCGTTGGTTCTTTGTTCCTTCTGTTTTTGCATCCTTTTTGCATCGTCTCCCTGTCACTCCCACTCCCACTCTGACTGCCTCAGATACGACATAACACCGCCTCGGTCTCATGCACATTCATTAAATTCGTCTTCGGCCTAGGGTTCAATAATTCTAAAGATAAGGTTTGCAGACTACCTAAAAGTCCAGTAAGCTAATTGACCCAGTCGGATACATCATTCACTGCAACGTCCAATTCTAAGAAACGGCCTTGGACTCCGGAACTTCATTCTGTCCCTCCACTCCCCATTGCACATGATATCCTTTTATCGCCAGATAGTCTTTCCATTCCTGGTCTCCATTATCTAGCTCCTTATCCGGATCCACGAGGACAAACCACGCCACCAGTGCTCCCAACACTGCGAATCCCGACCCGATCAAGAAGACCGCCTGCGTACCGTGAAATTCATCCTCGCCCCAACTGGCGAGGATTGGCTTGAAGACTTGCGTGCCAACCGCAGCGCCGGCCTTGCTCCATGCGGCGGCCAGGCCCACTCCGTGGCCGCGTAAGGCCGTGGGAAAGCTTTCACTAGCAGTGAGAACGATCGTGGATCCCGGTCCGATCTCTCCCAGAGTGAGGAAAACGCCGTATAGAACGATGAAGAGCGCCAGGTGTTTCTCGATATGTTTCAAAGCGCCACCAAGGACAAATCCCAGTATCGCTTGAAGGATGAATCCGAGGGCCATGGTACGGCGACGACCGATGCGATCTGAGAGGAGACCGCCGATGAAGGCTCCCGGAATATAAAAGCAGTTTATCAGGGTACCCCACGCCATAGTCAGAGCGAGAGAGGAATTCGGGTTGACGCGGCCGACGATCGCAGACGAGAAAAGTCCAAAAGGGTAGGAAATGTAGTTGTAAATGAACCATGAGCCGCAGACCCCGAGAAGCGGTCGCCAATATTTCTTTAACGCCAGCCAATATGGTACTCGCTGATTCCTCATGGAGCTCTTGCGGTAGGCCGAGCTGACAGCCATGCGGTATCGAAACCAGAAGATTGACAGCGGTGGTATGGCGCCCATGGCCAGCGCAACGCGCCAGACCTTGTCGTAATTGCTCACTCGCTGATGGAAGCACAGAAGCAGGAGCAATGGGACTAACGCCCCGAAGGCAAAACCGAGTGATGCAGATAGGTCGGCAATCATAGCGAAGATAAATCCTCGCTTGTTACGAACAGCGGACTGTTCGTCGGTCGCTTCGGCTGCTCCGGCGCCTGCAACGGGGTATTCTCTGTTCATGCTACGATCAGCTCGATGAAACACTGGAGCGTACCAGCTGCAACTCATG